AATGGCACCAATGTGAGATAAGGGCCTTGGCAAACGATGCGTTTTAAAAAATCTTGGCTGACTAGGAAACGTAAACGTATAAAAGTTTCCCAGCCACAAATCTCGCATTCTGGAGCAAAGTCGCTAAAGCCTCGTCCCACCGACAAATGTTCCCTGAGCAACCTGCCCCTCCCTGCCCCCCCCACGGCCCCCGCACGCATCGGCAGTGCAGACCCAGAGGTGCGTTCGTGGGAGTTCACTTCCCCGCTCTGGCTGCTGTTATTTGTGTGCCACCGCTCCGGCCCCGAGGGCCCCCGCGCCGTCCCCTGCCGCCGTGACCTCTGCCAGTCGGTCTCCTGGGGCCCCAACAGCTCTCGGGGGGGGGAGCCTCGCCGCTCCTGCAGGCTGGGTGGTCTCTGCCACCGAAACTCTGCCCCGCAGCAGGGCTTCGACCGGATGATCCGTGACGGCCGCTCTGCCGGTCGCCTCACCAACCCTCTGGAGCCTCGTCAGCTCTCCCCTTAAACCAGGGCGAGGAGCAGGTCACTCGTCGGCAGAGCCCGCGCCGCCCAGCAAAACGCCTGTCCCCACCCTCTCCCTCTCGCTCTCCACGAGGATCTGGCAGCCAAACCCCCTGCCTAGCGAGGGCAGCTCAGTTGGGGGTGACCCGTGCTAAATTCGTAATGAAAAAGGTGCTCAAGCAATTTTTTTGCTTTCATCACTGATGCGCCAGGCCCAGGGGTGCCGGGCTCTGACCTGCCGGGCCCAGGGGCGCCGGGCTCTGACCTGCCGGGCCCAGGGGTGCCGGGCTCTGACCTGCCGGGCCCAGGGGCGCCGGGCTCTGACCTGCTGGGCTCTGAGCTGCCGGGCCCAGGGGCGCCGGGCTCTGAGCTGCCGGGCCCAGGGCACCGAGCTCGGACCTACCGGGCCCAGGGGCGCCGGGCTCTGACCTGCCGGGCCCAGGGGCGCCGGGCTCTGATCTGCCGGGCCCAGGGGCGCCGGGCTCTGACCTGCCGGGCCCAGGGGCGCCGGGCTCTGATCTGCCGGGCCCAGGGGCGCCGGGCTCTGATCTGCCGGGCCCAGGGGCGCCGGGCTCTGATCTGCCGGGCCCAGGGGCGCCGGGGCTCTGATCTGCCGGGCCCAGGGGCGCCGGGCTCTGATCTGCCGGGCCCAGGGGCGCCGGGCTCTGAGCTGCCGGGCCCAGGGGCGCCGGGCTCGGACCTGCCGAGCCCACGTGACATATAATCCGCTACAGCCCAAATGTCGGTGAATAAAGTGAATGACACGGTTTGGCTCGTGGCGGCCAAGTAGTCGGGCGCGTCACTCGCAGAGCAGCGAGAGCCGCGTGTGGAAAGCAAAGCTCGCCGTGAGCGACTGGCTCTGAGCAGTGGCCAATGTAGGTTAGGGTGTCCCTCAGTAAATCCAATCCCGCAGAGACGTCGTTCGTTGCCTTTGTAACCCAGCACCTGCCAACCCCGCTCGATACCTAGGCCATGTGGGGGGCGTTCATGGAAACGCAGTCGGGGCCTGACACGCCCCCCCCCCCCACGCATCACCAGCTGTCAGGGGAGAGCTCGTCCAGACCCCGCTAACCTGGCCAACCCACACGCCCACGGTGCCGTGAAAACCAGCGGCTTGTGCGAGGGCGCGAGTCTGTGGTTCGCACTTTTCAGACCTAGTGTGCCTGTTTGAGCACATGCTTTCCAAGCGGGCGGGGGGCTGGGAGATTCATGTTTCAGTTTCCATTCAAATTTCCGACGCCCGAAGCTGGCAACGTTGTGTGTAACTAGTTGACCACTGGGGAGGGGGTGATGGGGCAGTTCGGGGGAGCGGGGACCCCAGTGCAGGAGGCGGCAGGAGCCAGGGAGGTGGGTAGCCAGAGAACGGAGCTGCCTTTTGCAGAGCGCCTGGAGGTCCCAACTGGACCGGGTGTGGCGGGGGCTTGGCTGGGCTGGCCCCTGGCTTCACCTTCACTCCCCCCTCCATGCGAACCCAGGGCCGGCCAGCACCAGGTGGCTTCTCAGTTGTTCCCTGGTGAGAGGAAATGGGCCGTTCCTATCATGTTGGTATGTGGCCGCTGCCTGCCTCAGTTTCCCTCTGGCCTTTGCTTTGCCCAGAGGGGGCCTGCTGCTCCTGACTGGCACCGGTCTGCGTGACCCGGGGCTGGCGGGGCCATGACGGAGCTGGGCGTGACCCCCGCTCCCCAAGTGCGCCAAAGGGTCCGGAGAGACAAGCTGGGGGGGGGGAAGGATTTTCCTGGCCTGCTTCCTGCCGGTGGACGAGACACTCCCTTGGCCGAGGCTGGGGCCATCGTCTGGGGTGCCGAACGGCCGTGTAGACGCCCGGGCTGTCTTGTGCCGCGCCGGAGCACGTCCACTGCAGTATTCAGCCCACGCCCGGACGGGGGCTTATATCGCAGACTCGTCGCCCCACCCCCCCCCAGGAGGGTCAGGGGGGTGTCAGGTGCCGGGAAACCAGTGTGTATTGCGTGCATGATTGGGGAAGGGGGGCTGGAAAGACGAGGCCCCCCCATGACTGCTCCAGAGACACCGACAGGCTGGCAACCCTGTAGGCAGAGCTTGGGGGAGAAGGGGAGCTGAAACGGGGCCTGGTGCTTTTTGGGGGCTGAGCAGTGTTCCCTGGGGTCAAGGAGATAGGTCCGAAATGGGGACAGCTAGGCCGGGGGGGGAGGCTTGGCCCCCCAAGGCTGGCTAGTGGGGTGCTTTTGCCTTAGCTGTCTGGGGCAGTGGCAGATCCGCGCCACACCCCCCCCCCGGAGCTTTGTGCCCAGGCAGGGGAGAGGATGCAGCCAGATTCGCTGCCTCGCAGAGAGATGGGGGCTGCTGTTTGCCGTGTGGCTAAATTACCCCCCTAACCTCCCCCCGCCCCCACCCCAGGCCTGTTTGGGCTTGAGCCAGGGCAGGGGAGGGAGGGCTGAGAACCGGCCAGGATGGGGAGAGGGGTCTTGGAGTCTGAGCTGGGCCCGTCTACACAGCTGCTGGGGGCTGGGGTGTGTGTGTGTGTTCCCCACAGCACGGATGAGGCAGGGCTGGGGTGCTTGAATTCCCCATGTGACCCCCCCCCCCTGCATTAACCCCCCATGTGACCTCTGCATTTCCCCCATGTGATCCCCCCTGCATTAATCCCTCTTGGTTGTGCAGGCCCCCCCTTGTAACACACCCATGACCACAGTGCCCTTGTTGTTACCCCACGTGACCTTGCTTGACCCCCCTTTGGACCATATCCCCCCCCCACAGGGGTCTAGGCCCTGGGGGGGTCACTCCCGGGCTCAGAGCCAGGCAGCTTCCCTTCGATGCGCCCAGCCCTGTCTGCAGATCAGGGTTGGGGGGCTCAGGATCAGGGTTAACAGCAGGGGCTGTGCTATAGGGGAGCTCTGGGGCACCCCAGTATCAGTGGTAGGAATGGGGGACCCTGTGCTATAGGGGAGCTGTGGGGCACCCCAGTATGAGTGATGGGAATGCGGGACCCCTGTGCTATGGGGGAGCTGCGGGGCACCCCAGTATGAGTGATGGGAATGCAGGACCCCTGTGCTATGGGGGAGCTGTGGGGCATCCCAGTAACAGTGATGGGCCTGGGGGCATGTCCCAGACCCCACGACCGGTACTCTGCCCCCCAGCTTTGGAGGAATCCCGCCGAGGAGCCCCTCCCTCCGACGTGCCAGACCCCCAGGGGTCCCATTTCCTCCAGGGTCGGCTCTGGGGAGAGCCCCCCGTGTCCTCCAGCAGCCCCCACTTCTCCCTCCGCCCCCAGGTCCTTTGGTCTCGGGCTGGGGGCTCTGCCCGGTTGCCCCGTCCTCTCTGCTTTCCCACCCTGCTGGCTTGGGCCCCGGTCAGTCGGCCCGGGAGCCAGGTTTGAGCCCTGTTCCTTCGCAGTGTAGACGCAGCTGGACTGCTGCTCCGGGAGCTCAGGCAACACTGCCCCCAAGGCGTCATCCAGCCAGCCGGGGCGAGAGTGGCCATGTTTTGGGGGGCGCGAGGAAGCCTGGGAGACGGCTGAGTGGGCTCTGACCCCCCCGCGACACTGGAGCGGTTAACGCAAGTGCTGCAATGTGGACAGACCCTCCTCCCGGCTGCCCTGCAGGCAAACGGCACGCCCCCTGCTGGGGAAACTGAGGCACAGCCAGGCTTCATCGAAATATGACAACACATTCCTTTGAAGTTGAACTGAGAGGGGGGGTCTTAGCCAGTGAGCTGGGTCCCTGCCACGACCTCTTCCCCTCGCCTGCCAGGGAGTGAAGGGGCAGGGGACCCACCTCCCCCCATGGGTCAGCCAGGTTGGGGCACCCATCCCCCCGAGCTGGGGGAGGCAGGGAGCGATCCCGTGAGCATTTAGGGGGATTGGGGTAGGTTGGTCGCCACGCAAAGCTGGTCCTAAGCCAGCCATGTCTCTGGGGCTCCCCCACATTGGAAGGCCCCCTTTGGCCTGAACCCAACCCCAGGGCTGTGTGCGTGCAAAGACCCGACTGCCCCTTTTGGGGAAGCCCCTTCACCCCCAGGACAGAGCCTTCCCTGCCTCGCCCTGGGGCACCCCAATATTAGAGATGGGAATGGGGGGGCCCTGTGTTATATGTGAGCCCTGAGGCACCCCAATATCAGAGATGGGAATGGGGGGCCCTGTGTTATGGGGAACCCTGGGTCACCCCAATATTAGACGGGAAAGGGGGCCCTGTGACACCCCAATATTAGAGATGGGAATGGGGGGCCCTGTGTTATAGGGGAGCCCTGGGACACCCCAATGTCTGTGGTAGAAGTGGGGGATAACCTATTGGTAATAAAGAGGAACTTGGGGGGACAGCACTATAAGAGGGGGTGCTGTGGGGTACTGGGTGGAAGAGATGGGGGGCTGGCACGGTTAGAGAGGTGGGGCACCTTGCTGGTTTTTGAGGTTCAAGGGCGGCAGCCCAGGACCCCCCCAGTAAGACAAAGGTTCGGGGAGCCCCAGAGGATTATGGGGGATCCCCAGAGAACCCCCCTGCCTCAATGTCAGACCCCAGACCTGGGTAACACAAAACCAGCCAAACCTTTATTGTTTCCAAACCGAAGAGAAGGTGGATTTCGGGGGGGCTGGTGGAGGGGGTTTGATCCCAGACAGGGAAGCGAGGGCTGTGTGCTGGGGGGCCGGGGGAGACATCCTGGGGGGGTGGGGTCACTGCGCCCGCCCCCCGATCTCACTGCACGGCCTGTTCGTTCGCGCTGCTGCTGGAGTCTTGGGGTTTCATGACGTCGGGGAGCTCCGGGGGGCTGGAGAAGGGGTCGATGCGGAGAGCCTCGAAGGAGTCATCTGGAGGAGGAAAGAGGGTCAGAGAGGCAGGAGCAACCCCCCAGGCTCCCCACGGCCTCTTCCCCCCAAGCACTCACCCCCGGCTCGGAAAGCCAGGCCCACCGTGGCCGGCGCCTGGGGCCGCGCCGTCTGGCTGGTGAAGCCGCAATCTCCCAGGGTCTTGCTGTCGTCGAGCAGCTGGTCATCCTGGGACGGAGAGAAGGGCGAGAGTGGAGCGGTGCAGCCTGAGACCCAAAGATGCAGCCGCCTCTGGGGCGGGGCAGCTGGGGAACCGCCGCATATAACAAGGCACGGGGACGGCCGGCCAAGGGAGCGGGCCCCCCTGCTGGGCCCCCTGCCGGCTCCCCGCAGCACGTGACCCCTGCCCAGCCCCCCCCACCCCCCGTCCCGCACCTTGTAGAGCCGCTGCTCCTCGGGGGGGCCGCTTGAGGATGCCCTCCACGATGCGCTTCAGCTCGTACACGGTGCTGGACTCCTTGGCGTCGGTGAAGATGGTCGTCTTGTGGCGCCGGATCATCAGGAACACGTCCTGGGGGAGGGACGGACAGACGGACACGCGGCTCAGCCCCAGGCCCCGCGCACCAGCCCCGCTTCCCCCCCCCCGCCCGCCGCACTCCGGGGCGTGCCTCAGTTTCCCCACCGGCTCAGCGCCAGGCCCCATGCGGCCTCCCACTGGGCCGTGCCTCAGTTTCCCAACCGGCTCAGCACCAGGCCCCGCGGGACCCCCCTCCGGCCCAGGGCGTGCCTCAGTTTCCCCACCGGCTCAGCGCCAGGCCCCGTGCGGCCTCCCACAGGGCCGTGCCTCAGTTTCCCGACCGGCTCAACCCCAGGCCCCGCGCGCCGCCCCCCGCTCGGTCCGGGCCGTGCCTCAGTTTCCCCACCGGCTCAGCGCGGGGGCGGCTCCTGGGAAGGGCCCCGGCGGTGGGGGCGGGGCCGGGCCGGGCGGGAGGGTCCCGGGGGGGGCGGGGTCCCGGCGGGGGGGGCGGGGGGGGTCGGTCTCGCTCTCTCGCTCACCATCCCGGCCGCTCCCCGCTCGCCCAGACGCAGCCGCAGCCCCCGGCTCCGCCACGGTCCCAGCCTGCACCGCGCGACCCGCGACGCACGCCGCGCGACCCCGCGCTGGGCGCCATCTTGGGAGAGGCGGTGCCTCCTCCCGGTCGGGAGGGGCGGGGGGAGGCCGGGTCGGCGGAGCGGCAGGACCAATGGGGAGGGGGGAAAGGGCCTGGCGGGCGGCCATGTTGGGAAGGTCACGTCGGCGTCAGGCCGCCATGGCGCGGAGGGGGACATGTTGAGCAGGTCTTGTGCCAATTCGCCATCTTGGAAAGGTCAAAGTTCAAGGAAGGAACCCCTCCCCACCTACCGACAGCCATTTTGAGAAGGTCCAATGACTTTCTCGGACCCTGAGCTGCCGCCATGTTGGGAAGGTCAAGGGAGTGGAGAGAGCCCGGACACCTGGGTTCTATGTCCCAGCCCTGGTCGCTGCACAGACTCCCTCCCCAGACCGAGATCTGTGAGCCCCCCCCGAGCCCCTTCCCCAGCCTTTAGCCAAGACACCCGAGCCGTGCCGGGTGTGACTTTCCCGGTGGTGAACTTCCCCCCGAACAGTGCCGCTGCCTCTGCCACCGTTCCCGCCACCCCGTCCCCACCCCGACCGGCTGCCCTCGAACGTCCCGGCCCTCACCAAACCCGCCTTGACCCCGTCTTGTCCCCCCCCCCGTTCATATTGCAGCGAGAGACCCCCGAGTTTGCATGCGGCGATTGCCCGCCCTGCGGGCGCGGTGACAGGCACCCGGGCTGCAGCTCTTGGAGAGAAGACAAAACCGGACCCGTCGGGATAAATCCACACGGCGCACCCCCAGGGGGCGGTGTAACGCCGACAGAGCCCGGGCGTCGGCCGGCGGGATCGAACCGGCGACCTCTGGGGCTCAATGCAGGAGCCTCCACGGCATGAGCTGAGAGCCACGTGGCCCTTCGCTCTCGCTCAGTGGTCTCGGTGCCACTGGCGGGGACAGACCCCCACACCCAGGAGGTGTGTGGGCTACAGCTGCACGTCTGATTTCCCAGCCGGGACCCGGGAGGGAGCGGGGCGTGGGGGCCCGAAGGGGCAGATCCCAGAGCCGGCGGTCATGCTTCTGCTGGCTAATCTGCCCTGGCCCTTTGACAATAAACGTAGCCCAGGCCACAGGCTCCACCCCAAGGCCCCGCCTCTACTCTGCCTCTTCCCACCCTCTCCACAAGGCCCCCCTCCCACCAGCTGCGGCCGGTGGGTGCTGAGCACCCCTCTAGCTTTCCCCATGAGTGCTTGAGCCCTGGAGCACTCTGGGCGTCGGTGCCTATGCCCCAGGCCCGAGTCCCTTCCAAGGGCCGCCTGTGGTGTCCAGCCCCTGATCCTCCGTTCCCAGCAGACCCCAGTGCGCCGGCTTCCCCTTAGCCCCCTCCACCCACAGCGCTTGAGTGCCGTGACAGTAAACCAAAAGGAAATTGATTCCAGAAAGAGCAGAGCTTCAACTGGAAACATGTAGGAGAGATGGGAACAAACGGTCTTGTCCAAAACGAACCAGAAAACACAAACTAGGACCTACCCCTATCAATCGTCACCATTCCGAGCTAGCAAAGGAGTGCGTCACCCCAAAATTCACTCTTTTGCAGCATTTGCTTGCCTCATGGAACCAGGACACCCCTGGGCCCCTGCTCATCAAGATATGTGCCGGGTGACCAGATGTCCCGATTTTATAGGGACAGTCCCGATTTTTTGAGCTTTTTCTTACATAGGCACCGATTACTCCCCACCCTGTCCTGATTTTTCACACTTGCTGTCTGGTCACCCTAGGCCTTCTCCACCCTGTGAGCTACTGGACCAGACACTTGTTTCTGTTCTCGGACAGGGGCAGCCCCTCGCTGCCCTGTCGTTCCATTTCACCTCCAGGCGGTTCCGATGGTTTGCCGTTGTCTTGGAGGGTTTCTATTGAGTTAGGATCATAGACTATCAGGGTTAGAAGGGACCTCAGGAGGTCACCTAGTCTAATCCCCGGCTCAAAGCAGGACCAATCCCCAATTTTTGCCCCAGATCCCTAAATGTCCCCCTCAAAGATTGAATTTACAACCCTGGGTTTAGCAGGCCAATGCTCAAACTACTGAGCTAACCCTCCCCCCATGGTGATCCCCCAGTGGTTTGAGCATTGGCCTGCTAAACCGCAGGTTGTGAATTCAATCCTTGAGGGGGTCATTTAGGGATCTGGGGCAAAAATTGGGGATTGGTCCTGCTTTGAGCAGGGGGTTGGACTAGGTGACCTCCTGAGGTCCCTTCCAACCCTGATATTCTATGATTACCTTCTATGACTTCTTCTGGGCTGGGACCAGGGTAGAGAACTGACCCATGAATTCCATCACCCCCGTTACTGGGGAAGGGTGATCACTGCGACCTGAATGGGCCTCTGATTCCCTGGTGGCAAACTTGCCCTCCCAAGACCACCAGGGCATACATTTCAATATTAGCTACATTATGACCCGTCCACACATCTCGCAGTGATCCGGAGTTTCAAGAAGTCACAAGCTTTCGGTAGAGACCTCACGTGCAGCTCCACGGCTTGTTTTCTAACTCTGAAAATACGTATTCTAGATTCTTACTCTTTGAACCCGCTCTCCTTACTAATAGTGATACTTTCTTGCAAAGTCAGCTGGTTAGTGTGGAAACAGCCACTTCAGGCTGTGTTTCACCAGGGCAAGGTAAAGCCCCATTTTAACTACGGTTATGCTTCGTCCCGTGTTTTCCTGGTATTAAACAGCCTGCACGGGGGTGTGCGCTTGGGGAATAATACTAGCTAAAATTTTGTTTGTTCTTAAACCAAAGGCCCACAGCCACATAGGGGAAAGAAGCCAGCATCTCTTTACCCTGGAGTGCTGTGTAAATTGCTGAAACTTGCTTTCAAATCTGCCTTTTTAAAATGGGTTTCTTGAAACAGTCAGTTTGGGTGCTTAAATTGTTTGTGATTTAGGGGCATAAGCACTGAACTTTTGTTTTTCTCCTCTGAGAAAATGTACGCGTGACCTCGGGCGGGCGGGGGAGGCGAATGGGTATGTGGTTTTTTAAAAGTATTTTGTCGCAAACTGTTTGGGTTTCGGAGGCTTAAATATACGGGCTGCCAAATGGGGTCCGTGTATGTTTTAAAATGGTTACAAAAGTTTGTTTTCATGTTTAACTATGTAGGAACAAGTGCGGGTGGGTTTTCTATAGTGTTTTGTTGCAGTTGCAAACTGCTTTGGGGGGGCTTAAAATACGGGGAGATTTTTTTTCCTTTTACTCTGGGCAAATGTATGTTTTAAAATGGGATAAAAATTAGTTTGATGCTTAAATTGTTTGTGATTTAGGGGCATATGAAAGGTGTCTTCCCCTCCCCCACCCAGGAAAATGTATGCATGATTTCAGGAAAGGAGGGGGTATAAAAGTGTGGGTTTTTAAAGGTATTTTATTGCAAACGGTTTGGTTTTGGATGCTTAAAATACTGTTTTTTTTTTTACTCTGTGCAAAACGTGGGGTCGGGGGGAATTGTTTGTGCGTGGGTAATTTACAGTCTGAAATTGATTGTGTAGCACAGTGACTTTTAAACAGCCCCAACACAACCAAAAAGCACCTCCCCTAAATTATCACTTGATTTTTCAATTTCACACAACTGTTTCCTGTGTCTTTTTAGTCATGTTGACTCCCCACGGGGGGGGGGGGGGAGAGAAATCCTTAGACCCCAGTGCAAAGAAGTCAAAGGGAAAAAGAACGAGAGGAGGGAAACTCTCCAGGATCAACAGTTGACAGATGGTTGAAACCTAGTAAATATATTTTGATTATTTGTTTGGTTGCTCAACTGGTTTTGTTGTTAAGCGAATACCTAGGTGGGGGTGCGTTTCGGTGAGAGGGAGAGATTATAGATTATAGAGTTAAGGGTTAGTTTGTGAACATTGTTTATTTGATGCTAAATTGGAACATTTTTTCGCTAATCAATCCTGTCTGACTCTCCCGACCTGCCGCAGTCAGAGCTACGGAGATGTGGCCGGCCGAACCACCGAACAACCAGGAATCTGCCGAGCCCGTTAACAATGCAACCAGCAGACGAGCGCAGACAAAGCATCAGGGTAACTCAAAACTTAGCTCCGGCCAGCCAAAACAAATGACTCAAAAATCAGCACGGCTGCCACACCTTCAGCTCCTCTGCGGTTGACACCGCACCGAGCCCGGAGAAAGCTGTGAGCAAAAACACGGAGGCGGGTGTGCACTTTAGGGTGGTGAATAGGGCTGCAAACACACACAGTGCCAGGGTGGCTACGGGCTGCAAAAACACTGTTGCAATAATTTCTCTGTCTCTCATTAACACCAGCAGTAAGGATTTTGGAAATTGGGAGCTAACATTGATGAGGGATGTTCTGTCTCTGAGTGCCGACCCTTTGAGTGACTTGGAAAGACCGATAACTGTACAAAGTCTATGCTGGTGGCGGTCAAAAATTGGGTTTTTCTAACAGGAGATGGTAGCACTGCCCACGCGGGCCTCGGCATGGGGCTCACGGCCGTGCGGATAACGGGGTTTGAACACACGAGGGCCTGCGCAGACTTGCAGAGGGAGCGCTCAGCGGCGGCAGGTGGAATGAGCGTTTGGATTTGCAGGGTTTGGGGGACAAAGAGGCGCCTGCCGAAACTATGGGCGAGAATCCCTGTTAAAAAAAAAAAAAAAAACGTAGAAAAGGTGGAAGGGGCAGGGAGGAGAAAACACACTGTTATGACTGAGAACGAGGGGTGGGATCGCGGAGAGTCTGATTTCGAAAAGCCCACGGAGCGGGGTTCCCATCCGCTCGCGAGAGACCCTGAGGCTCAAATAGTGGCTGATGCAGAAGAGCCCCCCCTCAGCGATGGGGCTTCTCCCCAAAACTTTCCAATTCAGCTACTTCTCTTAGACTGCAAGGCCAGAAGGAACCAGCCGGGTCATCTAGCCTGACCTCCTGCACGTTGCATGGTTCAGCTGCTGGATCTCTTGGGAGGGGGGCTAATGGAATGACAATGGCCCAATCTATTGTTCTGTTTTCAGTTCAGACCAGAGTACCCCAAGCAGTAAATGGCCACCCACCACCATCCAATGGAGGTCTTCGTGTTTCTTCCATTTCAACCTGTTACTTTGGCGCTTCACGGTTTGGTTGGGTTTTCAATTGAAATGGATGTCGGAGAGCCATAGCAAATACCCCCCCCCCAACGCCCCTCGCTTTGAAATGCTGGACAGGGAGGAGTTTGTTCTTCCAGTGTGATTTATAAATACAGGGGAGGCGTGCGACCCCCGGCAACGTGTCGGTCTGGGGTTAGCCCGGCACTGACTTTGGAAATAATGTGATTTTTCAACCGTCTAGTGACTTTGCGAGGCTAGAAAGCCTGACCCAGAGCGTGCCATGAACTCCTGAGGGGTTATTACACCTGATGGTTTAGTTGGTGTTGGTCCTGCTTTGAGCAGGGGGTTGGACTAGATGACTTCCTGAAGTCTCTTCCAGCCCTAATCTTCTATGGTTCTATGATTTTATGACCCACAGGGGTGTATAAACTCCTGAGCTTCTGTCTGATTTACTACCAATCTGGGCTCCCCGCCCTGCTTTTGGGGGGTGAATGCCCTTTAGCCCTAATTACTGACAATCTTTCCAACCCCCAGCAGGGCCTAATATCTTCAACCCTGATGGAAAGCGAAGGAAATCTGGGTTGGAGAGTCACCCCTAGGCCTGGTCTTATAGAGCCACGACAGGTGACCGAGGTGCCGTGGGCGGGTCGATGGGGCTTGGTCAGTGCTGTTGAGCTCAAGTGAGTGTGTCAGACGTCCGGGCTTTACACAAAATGCGAGAGCTCCGAGCTTGTCTTTTAAACTCACCTTGCTGGTTTTATTCCCCACCCCCGTTTCTCCTGCAGGCGTTTCAGCTTCTTGGCTGGGAATCCGTCTTTTTTCTTAAATAGCCGGGATCTGGCAAGCTATTGTATTGGACCGACATACGGCCCTTGAAAACAAACCAACCTGCCCCATCAAACCCTTCGTCTTAATCTAAGGCCCCTGTAACAGACACACGGATGGTCTCAGTGGCCTTTCCAATAGATATTGTTATTCACAGATGCCAAGGTTTCCTAGGTTTGATCTCACATTTCATCCCGGCACCATCCTCTGACTTCACCCTTTTGGATTTCTTACAAATCCTCTTTTTCCTTAGCAGGGCTCTGTGAGGTTTGTGCGGATTGGCCAGGCAGTATAATGCCCTAAGCCGGGATCCTTCGACTGGCTAATTCTCTTTAAACCACTGTCCGGGGCGCTCGCGTTTTGCACAGCGTTTACCAAGGTGACACAGTGGGCTACATTTTCGTGGGTGAAGCACAGACGTTGCATGGGATAAGCTACGGCTTCTTCCCAGGCCCGGGTCAGCACACAGGCCCCGGTGCTTGCAGTTTCTATCCTCTGAAGTCCACGCAGTCATGATGCTCCTGGCCCGGCGTGTCCCTGACGCGGCCCCCACAATCTTCCGTAAGCTTCTGGGCCGAGGGCCTTCCTTCCGTCCGCACAGCTGTCTTCCTCGTCCCGCTCGGGGTCCTCTTGAGCAATGCGTCTTGGCGTTGAGCAAAACCACGCTGGGCCTGATTCATCTTCGCTTTCTGAGGCACGGCTGGCCAGGGCCTCCGGGGTCTCTAGGAAGGCCTCTAGCTGCCGAGTTTCAGGGAAGGAACAGCTGTCAGTCCCCTGGGTTTAGATTTATCCAACCCCAGGTCGGTTCCCACCCCATTGCACCCCATGCTTCTGGTCATGTGTCAGTCTCGGGGGTGGAGATTACAGGTGGGCGGGGCCTTAAAGGTCGGGGCGGGGACAGTGTTTCTTGACGTTGTACCCTTCGATGGCTCCCATGCTTGGGTCAACCCTAAATCTCCAAGAGCCAGAAGCTGGGAGTGGATGACAGGGGCTGGATCACTCGATAATTGCCCCGTTCTGTTCATTCCCTCTGAAGCACCCGGCACTGGCCACTGTCGGCAGACAGGACACTGGGCTAGGTGGACCTTTGGTCTGACCCAATGTGGCCGTTCTCATGTTCTTATGAGTTTGTCAGGGCTGAGACTGGAGTTGCTTGTAAAGAAACAATGAACATTTTGCTGGTTGGCAACAAGGGGCTTCTGTGTCCCGGGAATCAACGGTGAAGTCACCCCAGAACGGTGCCCTGGTTAGTTGTATAAGCCCTGTGAAAGACGGGTGTCTGCCAGCTTACTGGAGTTGGCTCCCCCTCTCCAGAGATAGGACCCCTCCGGCGCAGGTGGTGCAGTGGAGGGCTTGGGTGAGGATAAGACACATGCCCTTGGCTTTACCGTGCCCCCTGTGGATGACGATTGTGATGCATTGGAAACGGTATTAAAATTTGTGAGCGATCAGTTTAGATTCTCAGTGGGTTTCCGGGTCCTGTTGGCAGGCTAGGGGACTCTGTGAAGAAGCCTGTTATCAGAGACATTTCTGCAGAGAGCCAGCCTAGAGTAAGGCCCATCCAGTTGTGCCCCTCTGCTTTTAAAGGAGCAGCCTGTTTTGTTTTTCTCTGTTTTGCGGGTCTTGTGTGTTATTGAGCTGGATTCTAAGCAATAAAGTCATGTTACGTTGATACCTTCCAGACAGGCTGTTTAGGTTTGAGCTAACTTCTCTGTGTGTTTGCCATGAAAGTTAACAAGTATGGCAAGGCACCAATGAGAAAATCGGAGGGAATATTATGCTGGAGTTGCTTCAAACCTGCTGTTCTGAGAAATATCAATGAACTAGTTTTGCATTCAATTGTCTTGTCTGGAGCAACTAGGATAAGAGTTGGAAAAGGCCAGGGTGCCGCCTGGCTTTCTCGTCAGATGGGGCGGATGGGAGATTCTCTCCACACGTGACTTTTAACCCAACCAGATGCTCACCGAATGTGTCTGCTAGGTAGGAAAGTTCTCCTCGGCATGGGGATTTTGACAGGAATTTTGTTTTTGACACTGGCAAATGGGGGATTTGAGGCTGAACTAGGGTTTGAAGGGAAATTAAAATGTCAATGGGAAGTTTTCCTGAAAAGTGTCTGATTCCTTGGGCGGGAGGGTGGGGAATAGAATTTGAGTTTTTGGCCCAAACTTTTCAGGTTTTTGGCTTTTCTATGAAAAGTTGAAATTTTCTGTTTTCTGAAGATCTTTTACTGTTTTTTTTTGTGTGTGGAAAAACAGGGTATTGGACACAACAGATTTTTTTCCACAGAAAGTGTGTGATTTGGGAGGGGGATTTTCTGATTTATTTTTAAAACCCAAAAGCTTGAGACGCTTCTGGCTTCTTTGCCAATAATGTTGCTGGCTGGTTTCTTTGACAACAACTTGAAATTTTGCATTGGAAATAGACGTTTGTTTTCCGTGCCAGAGTCTTCGCATGTGGGTGACGGTCACTGGTCACAGCTGGGTGCGAGATTTCGTTCATCACAGTGGAAGTGGAAGAGTATCACAGGAGGAGAAACTGAGATCGCGGGGCGCGGCCACAACGCGCCAGGCGCTGCACAGACCCTGAGTGACCGCAGTCTAAACAGACAGAGGAAAGTTTTTGCCGGGCCTGTGAAGTTCTTACATTCTGCACTGCTCGGTTTGGATGTTTGCCTCGTGGTCTGTAACACGGTCACTTCTGAACCCCGTGTCTGACCTATCCCCGGCTCTAGAAAGGTCTGAGGTCTAGTGGGTTAGAGCAGGGGGGCTGGGAGCCAGGACTCCTGGGTTCTCTGCTCACCCTATGTCGGTGCTGTTGCCCCCCCGGTGTGTCGCCAGTCCAGGATCCCTGGCTGAAATGTTTGGGGCGGGGGGTGCCCCATGGGTCCAGGGACTGTGACAGGTCAGCATCCGTTTGCTCGGCTGTCTTTGTTGCAGAGGGTCCCTCATCTCAGACCAGTGGGTTGTGTCAGCAGCTCATTGCTTTGAAAGGTGAGTCACTTGGGGTGGGGAGGGACGAGGGGACAGGCAGATGTCCTGCTTGGATCCTTGCTGGGAGAGCCATCCCCATGCGGGGTTATGGGCAGCTGTTCTGCAGCTGCCCCACCCCAGAGGTGCCTGCATCTCAGCACCAGGCAAGCCATCCCCGTGTGGCGTCACTGGGTAGTTTTTCCTCTGCTGCCCCACCCCAGAGGTGGCTGCATCTCAGCACCAGGCAAGCCATCCCCGTGTGGCGTCACTGGGTAGTTTTTCCTCTGCTGTCCTGCCCCAGAGGTGGCTGCATTTCACAGCCACACGAACAGCCACATGAACCCAGGACTCCTGGGTTCTCCCCCTGGCTTTGGGAAGGAAGTGAGGTCTAGTGGTTAGAGCAGGGGCCACTGGGAGCCAGGACTCCTGGGTTCTCCCCCTGGCTTTGGGAAGGAAGTGGGGTCTCGTGGTTAGAGCAGGGGCCACTGGGAGCCAGGTGTGTTATTGTGGGTGGTTCTTTTCCTGCTGCTCCACCCCGGACCCCACTGCATTTTTGCCCATGTTTACAATCCATCTCCCCCCACTGATCATTGTTTTCTCTCTGCTCCCCATCTCTGGTCCTCAGCCTGCCTATTCTGTGAACCCTGGGGGGCGCGGGGGGGTGGGTGGGTGGGTTAGAAACTAGCTCTCCAACCCCTCCCTAAGCCAGGTCTGATCCCCCATGCACCAGATCATCGTCTATCCTGATTACGAGAGGTGCAGCCATTCAGCCGATGTCGCCCTAGTGCAGCCGCCGAAGCCAGTGCGATTCAGAGATGAAATCTGCCCCCTCTGCTTGCCGGGCCCCTCTGATCCTCCCCTGCAAACAGCCAAGCTGGGTCACCAGCTGGGGAAACTGTTACTCAGGTAGTAAGACCATCCCCCGGGGAAAGGTGCTATCGCTCCGTGTCTAAAGCCCCATGCTCCTGGAGTCCTGGGATTCCTGCTGCACCTTGAAATAAACCCAGCCCAGCACTCTAAAATTTGTGGCCGTCACAAAGCTTGGTGGAAAATTTTGCTGTTTGAACGCTCACGGGGCCAGACTGAAGCCAGAGACCCTCCGGTGTTACTCCTGGGTCCGCCCAGAAGGACGATTTGAACGGGCAGCACTGTCCCTCTCAGGTGTTAGCTGGTAGCTCATAACCTGTCAATAGCACCAGGACTGGCCAGAGGTGTCATCAGTGGTGTGGGATCGAGGGCACCAGTTGAACTGGGGTAAGTGACGGGGCTCTGGGGACCGGGAGCAACCTGAGCGGGGTGTGATTTGGGGTGGAAATGACCCTTCACGACGAAGTCCACTTTGCCCGGGCGGCCAGAGAGCCTGGAGAGTCTAAGACTGTCCGTGACGCGACTTTTCTTAGGGGTCCAGGAGTTCCCATTTGTTCCTGGCATGGCGAAATCTCATTACCGGCAGGCCGCCGGGTTGGCCTGAGGTTGGCACTCACGGCCGTGAGCCGCACCAGACAGGGTGACGCAAACTCCCCCTGGAGACTGGCGAATTCCCCATGGCGGCCGGCCTTAAGGAGCCCTGAGCCGACGCTGCCCCCTGGTGTCGGTCAAGGAGGCTGCAGACGGAGGGGGTGGCCCGTTGGCTCGGGCGGGAGAGTTTTGTGTCACAGGTTCGGGTCCCGCATAGGCTTTGCCGTGTGTGTTGTGTGTGTGTGGGAGGCGGTGTGGTGTGGCCAGCTGGGAAGGGGAACGGATGCCAGTGTGGGGTGGGTGGATGTGGGAGGAAAGCGGGTGGGGACTGGAGCAGAGGATGAGGGTGTGTGTGCGGGGGGATGACGATGGGGTGGGACAGAGAGGGATGGGCAGGCATGGGGGTGGATCCAGGGACCCGGTTCTCCGCCCCCTCTCCGCCGTCCCCCCACCCCAGACTCCGCAAGAGATTCAGGCCCAGCCTGCAAGGCCAGCTCTGCACCATCCACCCTCACCCGGAGCCTGGCAGGGACCCCGTCAAACCCGAAATGGTCTGGGCGCCTCCTGGATCGGACCCGTGCCCCCCAAACTCATTGGCCAGGGCAGCAGCTCAGCTGGAACTCTCTCGCCGTCCACGCTCCCGGCATGGACCGCGTCATGGAGGGAGGGAGAGCTCAGTGGTTTGAGCATTGGCCTGCTAAACCCAGGGTTGTGAGTTCAATCCTTGAGGGGGCCATTTAGGGATCTGGGGCAAAAATTGGGGATTGGCCCTGCTTTGAGCAGGGGGTTGGACTAGATGACCGTCTGAGGTCCCTTCCAGCCCTGCTATTCTATGATCGAGCTGCTCCGGCCCCAAGAAGGAATTTGCTACCCGTTTGTCATAGCAGTTGCTGCAGATCTCTGGATCCACCCCCCCTTTTTTTGTGTTGATAGTCTGAGTCTGAGCAGCACCCGCCCCCAGCTCTGCTCCAGGCCCATCCCCAGCCTCCGCATAGCTCTGAACCCAGCGGTGGGCCTGCTCCCAGTCTTGGCTGCTGGCAGTGGCTGCTCCGTTCTTACCCCCGAGACCCCACTCCTGTCCTAGAGCCAGGGAGAGAACAGAGGCATCCGGGCTCCCAGACCCCGCTGCTCTAACCCACCAGACCCCACTTCCTTCCCAAAGGCAGGGGGAGAACCCAGGAGTCCTGGCTCCCAGACCCTGCTGCTCTAACCCACCAGACCCCACTTCCTTCCCAAAGGCAGGCGGAGAACCCAGGAGTCCTGGCTCCCAGTGGCCCCTGCTCTAACCACTAGACCTCACTTCCTTCCCAAAGCCAGGGGGAGAACCCAGGAGTCCTGGCTCCCTTCCCCCCAGCCCCACCTACCAGTGGCTATTCACACCCTCCCCGCTGGCTACCGCCCTCGCCACGCCCTGGGAGCCAATCTCCTTTGCGGTCAGAGCCCGGCTGCTGGGCAGGAGGAAATAGAAACCAGCGGAGGCTTTACTTTCGTTTCCCTAGGATTAAATCTTGGACACGGGCAGAGCGAGCTGTGGGACAGGTAACGGGGGGCCAGCGACAGTTCCCGGGGGACAGAATCGCCCCCTCCAGTCTATTTCCCCCCCCATCCCCAGAGAACCCCCCTGAGATTGGAGTGGCTGGTTTCAAACCAGCGGCAGCTGGGGGGCACCGAAGGCAAACCCCGGCCACCCCCCGGCCTCTGGCTGGGGCCCGGCCCCCAACCCAGCCCCCCGGGTCCCCACGCAGCGAGCCGCGCCCGGCCGCCACGCCCGAGAGCTGCTTGAAAAGTCCCGAGCGGCTGAAAATCCCGCTGCCCCCGGGGCACTTGCGCTGCGGTGGGGAGGGGGGCGCCGATGGCAGCGGGCTCTCCCCAGGTGCGACGGCTGGGGACGCGCGGTTCCCTCCTGCAGCAGAGATGGAAATGAGTTGTGTTTAATGCCAGGGAGCCCGGACTCCTGGGTTCTCTCTCCAGCTCTGGGTCGGGAGTGGGGTCTAGTGGGTTAGAACCAGGGGAGGCTGGGAGACCGGACTCCTGGGTTCTTTCCCCATTGCCGAGAGGGGAGTGGGGGGCGAGTGGCTTAGAGCAAGGGGGACTGGGAGCCTGGACTCCTGGGTTCTCTCCCCATCGCTTGGAGGAAGGAGTGGGTTAGAATGGGGAGGGGAGCTGGACCCCCTGGGTTCTGGGTGCAGTGGGGCTGTGGCATGAGGTGCTGGCCAAAGAGAGTTTGCTCATTTCTTGAGGTGCTAGTGGGGATGGGGGGTGTCCCCAGTACACAAGGAGAGCCCTGGAGAATTCAGCACTCAAGAATTGGGATTAGGACATGGAGTGTCCCATCCCTGCTCTGTGCCTCAGTTTCCCCCTCTGCCAGCCCTCCTGTTTGAGCACAGTGGGTGTGAGGGGGTTAATCCATTGGTGTCCTGTTGACTCAGCTCTCCAACAGAGTTTGGCTTTAGTCCCAGGCCAGGAGGAGTGGAGATCTGGTGGAGCCCAGCCTGTCACCTGCAGCATTATGGGAAATGCAAATAATAAAGGGTAAGCGCCCCAATCCCACCCAATTCAGGTGTAACCCATTCCAGCGCTGGGGCTAGAGTCCACGATTCCTGGCTCACAGCCCCGCCCCACTCGACTTCAATCCCCTGCCCCGCGCCCCCCCAGCTGGGATAGAACCCAGGAGTCCTGGCTCACAGGCCCCCTGCTGTGCGTTTCCCAGGCCGATCCCACCCCCCTCCTCGAAGTCAGCTCCAGAGGGGATGGTGGATCGACTCCAGGAGGACGTCACCTGCTCCATCTGCCTGGACATCTTGGAGGACCCCGTCTCCATTGAGTGTGGCCACAACTTCTGCCAGGGCTGCCTCGCGGCTCACTGGAGTGGGGTCTCGGCTTGGGGGTATCAGTGCCCCGAGTGCCGGGCTCCCTGCTCCAGGAACCGGACGACCCCAGACACACGTCTCAAAAGCCTGGTGGAGAAAATCAGAGACCTGCCACGTGAAGGGACGTTGACAGGAACAGGGACAGCGAGCCCTGAGGTGAGTGCAGCCCACCTGAGGCTGGTCCAGAGATGCAGCCACCTCTGGGGCGGGGCGGGGGGGGAACAGCTGCATGTTTGCTGCCTGCAGCACGGTGTCCCCTATCTCCACGCTGGGGCCCTGGGGTCAGGGGGAAGGCCGGCTAAGGGGATTGCTGTGTGCCTTTAGCAACCGCTCAGGTCCCTGGGCTGCTAAGGGGGGAGCTGGGCACTCAGGGCTCAGACCTGCTGATAAGAAATTAACCAGCAAGCTAACAGGCTGTGACTCCAGACGGGGGCCCCCGGTGAGGGGACATGGACTAGCTGGAAGTGGGGGGGAGAGGGTGGGGCACTGGCTTGGATGTGGCCCATGGTGGGACTGGCTGGTCCAGGGGGTGGGAATGGGGCTCTGATCCGGGGGAGAAGGGACTCACCATCTCAGGGGTGGGGTCCCAGCTCTGATCTTGCTCTGTCCCTGCAGCCGGGGCCGAGGGCTCAGCCGGGGCCGAGGGCTCAGCCGGGGCCGAGGGCTCAGCCGGGGCCGAGGGCTCAGCCGGGGCCGAGGCGCCCGGTGCAGCTGGTGCGTCTGGACGAGGAAGGGGGCCTGACCCTGGACAAGGAGGCCCTGAGCCGCTGCCTGGAGCAGGGTGGGGTGGGGGACGCCCCCGTCTGCCTGGTGTCCATTGTCGGGGAGCAGCGCCGGGGCAAATCCTTCCTGCTGAACTACCTGCTGCGTCGGCTCCAGAGCCTGGTGAGTGCAGCCCTGATCCCCTCCCAGAACCAAGGATAGAACCCAGGAGTCCTGGCTCCCGGCCCCCCGCTCTAACTCACTATACCCCACCCTCCCCTCCCAGAACTGGGGATAGAACCCAGGAGTCCTGGCTCCCAGCCCCCCAGCTCTAACCCACTAGACCGTCTAGACCCTTGTCTGTGTGTCTGTCTCAGCCCGAGTCTGCCTGTCCATCATCTTTCCAGTGCGCTGGTCCCCATGCTACTTGCCTGCTAATAAAATACTCACAGTCCCCCGACCCCCCGCACTAATTGCGCTGTCCCCCATGTCTTCTTCTCCCCCCCCGCCCAGGATGTGAAGGATGGATCCTGGATGGGCCGGGAGGAGGAGCCCCTGGAGGGCTTCGAGTGGCGAGTTGGTGCCCGCAGTGTCACCAAGGGGGTGTGGGCGTGGAGTCAGCCCTTCTGGGTCCCCTCTGAGGAGGGGCAGGTGAGTGGGAAGAGGGGTGGGGAAATGGGGTGGGGGGGATGAGTGACTGCAGTAGATCTCTACTGGGGGAAGCAGAGCAGACAGAGCTTGGGTGGGCTCGGAGACCTGGTAGTCAGGGAACACAGAGCCCACCAGGGGCTGGGTCTCACTGGGTGCTGGGGTATGTGGGGGGCAGAGTGGGGAGCTGGCATGAGACACTGGCCTGTGGCTCCCCCCTGCTCCCCAGGTGGCCGTGCTGCTGGTCGACACCGAGGGCTCCATGGACATCGCCAGAGACACGGAGACCAGCGTGAAACTCTCCGCCCTCTCCATGCTGCTTGGCTCCTACCAGGTAGGCAGTAGGGGGTGCTGTGCTGCAGGGAGCGGGGCAGGGCTCAGCAGGGGGCGCTCTCCCATTGCAGCCAGGGCCGGCCCCGATGCCCCAGGTTGGCACTAGGGGGCGCTGTGCTGCGGGGAGAGGGTCGTGCTGGTTTCTGTCTCTAACCCTGTCCTCTCTGATGACTTGCAGATCCTGAATGTTTCCAGCCAGCTAAAGGACCCCGATCTAGAGTATCTGGAGGTGAAGCGGGAGGAGGGCAGGACATGGTGCCATTCTCCTAGAGCCCCAACGGGGTACTCTGCCCATTCTGCAGCTGGGGAAACTGAGGCCCAGAGAGAATCAATGACTTACCTGAGGTCACATGGGGAGTCTGTGGAACAGCCAGAGTTAGAACCCAGGAGTCCTGGCTTCCAGCCTGCCCTCCCCCTGCTGTTTTAACCACTAGACCCCACTCCCCTCCCAGAGCTGGGGATGGAACCCAGGAGTCCTGGGGCAGAATTCAGCAGGGCCCAACTTCTGTGCTGCTCCAGGGTCTGGAATTCGCCCCTGCCCGAGCTCCATGCCGACTGAGAACACGGGTGTTGCCAGGACTCTGGGAAAGTCTCAAACTTTGGCATCTTGGTCTATTCTGCTCCTACCGTCGGTGGGCCGGGGGGGCAAAGAGAGCCCCTGGCATGGGGCAGGGGGGAGGGGAACCTTGACTTGCAGTTCTGCTCTTTGGCCACTAGGTGTCTCTGCAGCAGAGGGGGAAAGCCCTGGGACCGGGGGAACAGACCCAGACCAAGCTGGACCTGCAGCTTTATGGGTGGGTGGGTGGCAGGGGGGTGTTTGTTGGTAGGATTTTCACCCCCACCTGCCACCAGGGCACACGCTGCCTCCCTGCCCCAGAGATCTCAGTCCCCTGCTCTCTCTGCTCTGCAGATGTTTCTGCACGTGGCCGAGGAGGTGGGAAAGGAATATGGGCTGGAGTCCATTCAGGTGAGACGACTTTCCCCCCCAACCTCCCACCCTGCCCCATGCAATCTCCTCGCCCCACTGCATGGGATGCTCCTGCCCCAGCCACTCCCTGCCCCACACCCGAGGGGTTCAGCCTTCCCCTCCTGAGATTGTCCTGTCTCCCCTGCAGCAGCTAGACCTGCTGGTGCGGGATTGGAGCAACTCCCCGGTCTTTGGAATGGACGGTGGGAAGGAGCATCTGAGAGACGTCCGACAGGTGAGTGTGGGGCTTGACACGGGGCCTTTGCCCTCTGGGGGGTGCTGGCTCCGATCTGGCCGCAGGGCAAGGGCCTGGCTGGCTCAGGGGAGCAGGGAATGGGTCCCGGAGTATTTCCCTCCATTGATGTCTCACTTTGCTGATTCCCCCGGCTCTGGCAGATGCTGGCGGCGAGGTCCCCTTGCAAACACCCCAAGGCCCTGGAAGCGCTGAGCAGAAGCAAAACCCGCTGTTATGTGATGCCCTTCCCTGGCAAGCGGATCATGACTGGAAGCGAGGGATGCGTGAGAGGTAACGGACTCGGGACAGCGGCTCTGAGCCTGCACGATGGGGTGTCTCCGTCTCTGCCGGGGAACGGGCCGTGGGGGGACGCTCCGGCTCTGGGTTCATTGCCATGTCCCTCCCCTTTGCAGACATGGATGAGGATTTCCGGGACAGCCTGAGGGACTACGTCACCGGCCTGGTGGCCTCAGCCGGTCAACACGTCTGGAGGGACCGGCACGGGGCGCTGGTGACCGGATCACAGCTCGCTGCCAAGATAAAGGTGTGGATTGGCCAGCTGGGCATGGGGTCTCAGTAGTTGACGCTCTCCCCTGGCAGTCAGCGCTGGCCCCAGTACCTCATGGTGGCACAAGGGGGCGCTGTGCTGTGGGGAGCGGGGTGGGGGCTTCGCCCTTTTTGCTGAACTTTTGTTAATTAAGAATGAGGGTTGTATTTATAGCCTAGCAGAATCCCAGCTTGGATGATTCTACCGAGCCTTCCTAAATCATCCAGGGAAGTTCTTCATTTCCCCCGCCAAACTGATTCCCACTGTTGTCTTATGTCCGTTCCCCAGCTGCCCTGCCCCAGAGGTGGCTGCATCTCAGCGCCGGGCGAGCCATCCCCATGTTCCCACTTTTCTAAGCCCTGTGGAATCTGTATTGTGATTTCTTGTGCTTTCTTTGCAGAAATTCTCTGATCTGATGAAGAAACATTGCTTCGGCTTCTCCTCTCCCACTCAGGTACCTTCTCTGTCTGTTTCTGCCTCTGACCTGATCAAGGGGTGTGTCCCTCCTCCTGAATTCACTTCTGATGTAAAACTGTAGCCTACTTTTGCCTTGTCCAAAAGGTGGCTGCATCTCATGTTGGGCAAGCCATCCCCGTGTCGTGTTGTTGTGAGTCTATTCCCCAGCTGCTCCTCCCCCTCCCACAGTATTCTTGCCAGCAAGTTAAAGAAGTATGGGCTGGATGAATGGACTATAAGGTGGATAGAAAGCTGGCTAGATTGTCGTGCTCAATGGTTAGTGATCAATGGCTCCATGTCTAGTTGGCGGCCAGTATCAAGTGGAGTGCCCCAAGGGTCGGTCCTGGGGCCGGTTTTGTTCAATAACTTCATTAATGGTCTGGAGGATGGCGTGGATTGCACCCTCACAAGTTTGCGGATGACACTAAACTGGGAGGAGTGGTAGATACGCTGGAGGGTAGGGATAGGATACAGCGGGCCCTAGACAAATTAGAGGATTGGACCAAAAGAAATCCGGTGAGGTTCAACAAGGACAAGTGCAGAGTCCTGCACTTAGGACGGAAGAATCCAATGCACCGCTACAGACTAGGGACCGAGTGGCTAGGCAGCAGTTCTGCAGAAAAGGACCTAGGGGTGACAGTGGACGAGAAGCTGGATATGAGTCAGCAGTGTGCCCTTGTTGCCAAGAAGGCCAATGGCATTTTGGAGTGTAGGGGCATTGCCAGCAGATCGAGGGATGTGATCGTTCCCCTCTATTCGACATTAGTGAGGCCTCCTCTGGAGTACTGTGTCCAGTTTTGGGCCCCACACTACAAGAAGGATGTGGAAAAATTGGAGAGGCCAGTGAAGGGCAACAAAAATGATTAGGGGGCTGGAGCACATGACTTATGAGGAGAGGCTGAGGGAACTGGGATTGTTTAGTCTGCGGAAGAGAAGTATGAGGGGGGATTTGATAGCTGCTTTCAACTACCTGAAAGGGGGTTCCAAGGAGGATGGCTCTAGACTGTTCTCAGTGGTAGCAGATGACAGAACAAGGAGTAATGGTCTCAAGTTGCAGTGGGGGAGGTTTAGGTTGGATATTAGGAAAAACTTTTTCACTAGGAGGGCGGTGAAACACTGGAATGCGTTACCTAGGGAGGTGGTGGAATCTCCTTCCTTAGAAATTTTTAAGGCCCAGCTTGACAAAACCCTGGCTGGGATGATTTAGTTGGGGATTGGTCCTGCTTTGAGCAGGGGGTTGGACTAGATGATCTCCTGAGGTCCCTTCCAACCCTGATAGTCTTTGATTCTCCCCCAACCCCAGAAGTGGCTGCATCTCAGCACTGGGTGAGCCCATCCCTATGCAGTGTTGTGTGTGGCTGTTGCCATATGCTCCTCCCCAGAGGTGGCTTCATCTCAGGAGTGTGTTGACACTTGTTGGAAAAAGTTTGGTTTTTTTCCCCCCGAAGAGAAATTTGAGTTTCCAGCGAAATATGAGAAGTTGAAATACTTGATCTGGTGTCTCATGGGAATTACAGTTTGGCTCTGCATGCTCCCTTTTCTCCCCATAAATCAGCTCTCTGGTCGGACTGCAACTCCCATGATGCACCATAGAGGAGGGAGATGGTGTATCATGGGGCTTGTAGTTTGGGTGCCTGGCTTCAGGCTGAGCTGCCGTGGTGGCTCATGGGAGTTGTAGTTTCACACTGGCTAGTGGCATCGCTCTGTTACATGAGGTTGCTGCAGTTGCTAGGTGGAGACAGGGCCCCATAAACTGCGGCTCACCCCGGCCTTGTCCTCCCTGTGCAGATGGCCATCACCTTCCACAACCAGAGAGTCCTGGACAGGGCCAGCGCAGACCACGCTGTGTTTGTGACGGAGAAGGTGAGTCTGTGCGGCAGGGGCCCCTGTGCCCCAGCCAGGGGAACTGTCCTGGCCAACCCCACTGGCTGTGGGCTTTGGGGTAGGAGACAGGACCTCGTATCTCCAGCTCCCAGGATGACTGTAGAGATGGGAGGCTCAAACTCCTGCACTGGGGTTGGGAGTGGGGGAGGGAATAAGTTTGCCCTGTGGGCAGCTGCAGTGGTGGAGGCGTCATGGGCCAGGTGCCTAATGGGCTGGACCAGGAGTCGGAACTCCTGGCTTTTGTTTATGGTGCTGTCGCTGACTCCCCTGGGCTCATCATGGAGACTCTCTGGGCCTCGGTTTCCCCATCTATCAAAGTGGGAGAATGATCTTGCCCTTGGGTGTTTTAGCTTGTGAGCTTTTTGGGGCAGAGATGGCCTCTCACTGAGTTTGTGTGCCGCGCGAGGGGAGGGCCCCCATCTCGGTCCAGCATGAAGGGGCCCCCCCATCTCAGTCCTGGTTTGTGCCGTACCCGGCACGAAGGGGAGCTCCCATCTCAGTTGGGAGGGTGGGGTCCATGCAGCGCTTGCCCCTTCTAATGCTCTTGTCCGTCTCCTCTCCCGGCGGGCGCAGGACGGCGACTCCCGGAACATGGTCGCCTGCCTGAAGGTGCGGCCGAGCAAGATGGCGGAGCTGTTCGCGGAGCGGCGCGGGCAGTTGCTCTGGCGGTGCCGGACGGACATGCGGGAGCCGGCGCCGGAGAAAGAGGCCCAGCTGACGGAGCTGGAGGCGGTGCTGACGCGGGAGGCCGAGACCTTCCTGGAGAGCTACGGGAAGCGCTTCAAGAAATTCGCCATTTTGGCGGGCGTGGGCGCGGGGGTGCTAGTCCTGGGACCGGTGGGGGGCGCTGCCGGTGCTGGGATCGCCGCCGCTGCCATTGCTGCCGAGGTGGCGGTGGCCATTGGGGCTGGGACGGGCGCCGTGGCCGGGATTGTCGTGGGCGGGGGCGTGGGCGGGGGAGTTGGTGGGAACATCGCCCAGAAGGATAGGCAGAGGGCCAAGGCTGCTGGCGGCGGGAGGGAGGAGGAGGACGGCACTGAGGATCTATCTGACGAGAAACCCCTGATCTGATCGATGCCCCCCCACAATCTGGGGCTGACGAATGGGGTGACAGGACAGCAGCGTGGCCTGGACACGTCCCCCACAAGCCACCCCAGATTCTAAGAAGGGACGTTTAGATCCTCTTGTCTGATCTGCTCTGCCACCCAGGCTGGAGAATGCCGCCCACTTCCCCCTGCCTTGGGCCCGATATCTCCTTTGCACTAAATCGTTTCCCAGAAAAAGCGGCCAGTCCGGCTCGGAATCCGGAAAAGACAGAGACCCCCACCGCTTTCCCGCTGGTGAATCACCCGCGCTGTGAGAAATTGGGTGCCTCGTTTCCAGCTGGAGTTTCTCGCTTTAACTTGCAGCCCTCGGTTCTCGCTCTGCCTTCCTCCTATGTTGCAACACAAAGCTCTTAGAAACACCCTGCCGACGGCCCTCTCCCGAGATCACCCGCTGGGGGTGACCGTGGGCGCCTGGCTTAGTTCCTACAGCGGCAGCTATGTTGTCTGGTCCCGGAGGATAGATATCCAGCCACTCCTCTGAGCGGGAAGGCAGGTCCAGGGGAGAGGGCACAGAAAGACATGGATTGGGTTTCCTGCTCTACCATGGGCTTCCTCTGTGACTTTGGCCAAGTCACTTAGTTTCTCTGTGCCTCAGTTTCCCATCTGTATACTGAGGATAATAATGCATTGAAAGATGGTGAGGGGTTTGAGTTCTACTGAGAGAAAGTGCTATCCAAGAAACAGGCATCGTTATGTATTCTGCGGGAGGGCTATAAAAACATCCAAAGCTAAAGGATTTTCTGTTCAACACCCATGAACGCACGCCGAGCAGGGGACACCGTCTGGCCAACTGCACAGGAAGGCTCATCTCCCACCCTTCGGCGCTGGTGAAAAGCCAGGAGTTGGGCTTGAGGATTTCCAACCAATGAGGGCTCGGGCTAGGGGTACTCTCCAGCTGTTCCATGCCCAGGCCAGCCTCAGCTGGCGCCTACGATCCCATAGACCGCTGTAGCGTGAGGTACGGGGTCAGCTCCATCATGGCTTTGCCTTGGTGAGCCGGGAGCGCCCCTTCTCGTCACAGATTCCAAGGCCTGGGTAACATGGGCCATGACCCTGCCCTGAATTAATTCCTGCTTGGAGTGATCTCTTAGAGAAACTTCCCATCTCTAATTAAAAATGGACAATGATGGCAAATCTGCCACGACCCTTGGTAAATTATTCCAATTGTACTGACTGTTTAAAGTTTCTGCCTTACTTCCAGTCTGAATTTTGTTGAGCTTCAACGTCCAGCCATTGGAGCATGTTAGACCTTTCTGTGCTAGACTGAAGGACCCATTATGAAATATTTGTTCCCCAGGTGGGTACTTATGGACTGGGACCCAGTCACCCCTTAACCTGCTCTTTGAGTCCTATCTTCCTAAGAACTCCTTGGAAACCTAATATCAGGGCTGCAGGTTTTCAAAGGCTGCACCTCTTGGTACCTAAGAAGAGAAAGCAGAAGTCACTTGAGACTGTGGTCTGCAAAGTGTCCAATGGGAGAAGTTAGGTTTCTGCTGGAAGGTGGCCGGTCAACAGGTCTTGGGTGCAGGACAGTCTCAGAGCAATGGAGGCATTTAAGCAATTTCCTTTGTGCCCAACAGGAGGAAAGATATTTGGGGTACTGTGTTAGGGTGTCAATGTACGGATGAGTGCGTGCGTGAGTCTGTGAGCACCTGTAAATGACTGTCATGGGGAGTGCTAGAGAGTAATCTCCCAGATCTAAATAACTGTGAAGTTCTGACTCTTCGAACCTTGCATGGTGAGTTCCTAGTTTTGGGACAAGTCTCCACAGAAACTATCAGCTGTAATTCGCTTCCGGGAAGATACAACTTCTGTTTAACGGAAGGACTTTAAACTGCTCTTGGGGGAATTCTGCGCCAAAAAAATTTAAAATCCTGCGCAGAGTTTAAATTTCTGCACATTTTATTTGTCAAAATAACCTTCTATAATCACACCAGTTTCATTTATTTTGGTAATTTATTTCAAAATACCTGTCGGCAAGTATTTCTGTAACAGTCCAGACACCCACACAAATTCCCCCAGGAGTAGAAAGTTGAAGAAACCCTGACAACTCAGTTCCTGCTTTTCTGCCCCCTCCCTCCCCTGCTTCCCCGAGCTCAGCTGTCCCCACCTCCTCAGTCCAGCCAGTAGGCTCTCCTCAGCCCAGCCATTCACACCTCCTCCCCTGCCCAGAGCCTGCACCTGTCACCCAAACCCCATCCCAGAGCCCGCATGCCAGACTACCTCCCCCACTCAAACTCCCTCCCAGCTCCCAACCTCTCACCCCTTCTGCACCCAAACTCACTCCCGGAGCCTGCCCCCCAGTCCCATACCCCAGAGCTCCTCCCCCATCCAAAGCCTTAGGCAGGTGGGGGGGCGGAGTTTTGGCGGGCAGGGTTTGGGTTGCATGAGTGACATTATTGGCCCCCTAGGAGGATTTGAGGACTGGCACTCGGTAAATTGAGTTTTAGACCCCTGCCTTAGATCTACACATTTTTTATGACGTCCAATCCACGATTCCTTTGCTGCACACTAAGTGTGTCGTTCTTTTCCTCGCCTTGGAGGACGTGGGGAACAATTGATCAGCTTCCTCTTTAGAACAATCTTTGACATATAGGGCGACTGTTCTCAGATCCCTCCCCAGCCTTCTCTTCCCTAAACATGCCAGGTTCTTTCAACCATTCCTCATAGGCCCTGTCTTCTTAAACCGCTGATCGTGTTGGTCACGCTCCTCTGGACTCTCTTCAATTTGTCCATCTGTCTTAAAATGCGGTGATGAAAACTGGAGATAGGATGCCAGCGGAAGCTTCACCAGTGCTGAGTAGAAGGGGACAGTTGCCTCCTGAGTCTGACATATGACCTTCCCATTAACACACCCCACGTGACATTCCCCATTTTCGCACCCCATCCCACTCTTGTCTTTGTTGATTTGACTGCGTTGATGACTTGATTCTAATACCGCTGCTGCTAATTTGGCTACTTGATCTTATTTTCCCCTCAACTGGAGAATGGCTGAGTCAGTTGGGTAGAGTTTGTACCGGCTTGGTCTCAGTGATCTGTTTTCTTGACTTTGTATTTGTGGTGGGTTGTTTTACTTGTAATAAAATGGCGAGAAAGCAGACTGGGTCATCTTTTCTTTCAATCAGCAACTTAAGCCGGAACCATAGAGAATCTTTGGCTGGTACATCATCAAGTGGCCTCACTCCCCACACAAGGACCCTCCTGGAACCACCTGAGGAAGAAAGACTGAATTGGGGGAAGTGCTGGTCCCAGGCTAAAAGGATTTCTTAGCCAAACTCGGTAAACTGCTTGTATCATCAGCCAGGGTGAGAAATTGCTCATTCATATCCAGTCTTGCGAGGATTTTAGGCTTTGTTGGCCTAAACCAGTGTGCCCTTCAGTGAAGTGTCTGGGGAACATCTCAGCATCACATCGAGGGGAGAGCGAACATATGAATGAGTTTACTTTGTCCAGATCCCTGTGCAGTGTGAGAGGGTAGAATTCTGGGTTTATACTCCAGCAGGGGGGTGTGAGCTGGGGATTATCTGTTGTTGGCTCATGCAGAGGCTGGCCAGAGCCCCCATGTAACTGCAGCTGGGTGTGTCCCTGCCTGTGTGAATGCTGATGGAAGTGTAGGACCAGGAGCCGTCTGCAGCTTGTCACAGCAGCAGTGTGGGAGAGGGAGCCCAGGCTGGTGGGTCAGTGGTACCCCAGTTTCAGGTGGCACCCCTGGGGGAACCTGTCACAAATTACCTCCCCTGTCTTACACATGATGCTCCTGCAGCCTTTTCATTGTATCTCAGGCTTTCCTCCTGTTTTCTCCAGCAACGGTGTGAACTTTCTCAGTGTTGGATTGTGGGGTTACTCCATAGCCCCTGTTTTCCTCCCTGGGATCTCCCTCCAAGAGGTTTGCTCCTGCCCCAGAATGAGAGAGGCTGGGGCATGCTTCGTACTCTCATTGGCTGCTGTACTATAAACCATCAAAAGGAATGGACTATACTGGTCCCAGTCCCTGGGGTGCTGTCCTGCAAAGGGAACCAGCGGACCCCCCCAGAAGTGCTTTTGATCCTTTCAGCCACCCCATCCGATTGGGGGTGTGCTGGGGTGGCCGGGTTTTGTGGATGCCTAGACTCTCCCCAACCCGTCAAAAACTGTTGGATTCAACTTGTTTCCCTTAATCTGTGAGTAACTCACCCTGGAGCCCAAAGGCGGTGAGGGTTTCGTTCCCTGGGAGCCCGGCTGCTGTCACAGCCTCTGGATTTCCTTGGGGAAGCCTCAGGCCATTTTGTGATGTGCTCTGTAGCTACCAGCAAATCTTGGTTGCCAGATTCTGTCTCAGGCAAAGTCTGAAGCACGTCAGCAGGAACGCGCCCCGTCAGTGCCCCCCCAAAATATTAATGCATCGGGGCTCTGCCTGTCTTGAATTGGAACCAAAATGACCAAAATGCTGCCTTGGAAGGCAAACATCACATTTCTAACACCAAACGTCTTCATCTACCAGACTGAAATTCTCCCTCGGGTCAACACCGAAATCACCAGCAGTTTTAGGATCGTGACATTTACCCTGGAACCTGGTTTTTTCAGTATCTCTAGTACAGCTCTGTTCCCGTCGCCTGCCCAGTCTGTCATCTCTCAATCCCCAGCTTTCCGACGGGGACGGGGAAGATTTGACTGTGGTGAGGTGACACTGGAATCCTGCCGGGGGTTCATGGCAGTGCAAAGGGCGGGGTTTGAATATGTAGGCGGTTCCTCTTGAAATTAACACACCCACTGGAATGAGGCCCCACCCAGAAACCTGGGAGAATCCTAAAAATCTTCCCTGAGTGTGATTTCTAGGAACCGCTTCCCCTGCGGCAAGTGCTGAGCCCGGGTCTGAAACAAGGACTAAGGGGGGAAAGGATGCAGCATTAATTTGGGCATACATAGCAATGAGCAGTCCACAATGTATACGTGTAACGAGTAAATGAAACACCCTACTCCACTAGATTTTGAGGAACAGTCCTACCCCTCAATTTCCCTAACAAACTGTGTGATGTAAGACACCCACCACCCCAGGGTCTTTCAACGCACCAGTTCCCCACTTTGTTGCCCCCCCACTCACAGGTTGGGATAGTGGAATTTCCTCATCTGGGAATGTTCTCAGGAGGTCCATCTCCAAGACCTTATCCATAACAAAACAAAACAAAAAAACTACAGTCTTCATCTCTCTGGGCTGTGGTCAACCTCCACTGCTCTGAGACTGAAATGACGCTTAGGGTCAGCTCCCTCACTCAGGGCATATAAAGCACAGCCCTGTTGCCCTTTCATCCCGCAATAGGAATAACCACAATTTCATTTCCCATGCCCCAAAACTTCAATGAATTTTAACCAAAATGACCAAAACAGTCACTCTGGAATGCTGGGGGTAACCAAGATGCAAATGAGGTCTGGTCCATGCCAGCCCTTCCTCCGCTTCACCAGTAGATGGTAGCAGAGACCTCCTTCCTCACTGAGCTTCAGGGTAGCACTGAGTGAAAGTTTGAAGGCTGATGAATGTAGATTTGGCTTGACTGAAACCTTTCAGGGCTTAGTGTCAAATTCTTTTGATCGGGGAGAGGCGGGGGGTGGGGGGGAAATCCTCCCAAAGCTTGAAATGGTTTGATTTTTTTTCTGATTGAACTTTTCTTGAAAAGAAAAGTTTCATTTGAACAGAAACAATTTCCCTCCTGGACTTTTGGGACTTTTTTTGGGGGGGGGGGGGGGTTCATTTCAGATCAACCCCAAATGATAATTACCCCTCCCCTGTACCCCAATTTTCCAAAGGGCCAGAGAATAGAAGACTAAGTTGGGTGGACGCAGCCCTGCCGCAGGGCAGAGGGCTACACCAGTGCGTCGGGGCTGCTTTCGATCGAACTAATGTCTAACCTACCTCTCCCTTGCTGCAGTTTAAGCCCGTATCTTCTGGTCCTGCCCGCAGCCACGAAGGAAAACAATCGCTCACCCTCCTCTTTATAAACAATCTTTTACATACTTGACGACTGTTCCCATGTGTCCCCCTCGGGCGGCTCTTCTCCAGACGAAACAAACCCAGTTTCTTCCAGTCTCTGCTCGTCGGCTGCGTTTCCTAGAGGAAGGGCCCGTGGACTTGCTGATGACACAAGCATGATGCTGTGGATACCCGCGTCCACACCGGCCCTGTGCTTTTGCCACTTCAGCGCTGGCATCACAGGGCTCGGTCCAGGCCGGGACACACGCCAGGAGCCGCGTTGCTGTGGGTTGTTTCCCAGGGCGGGCTGGGGGATACGCCGACCCCACCGTGGTACTTCCTTGACTTCTGGGGCTGGTCAACACACAAAGCTCACGGATCCGCTGTCTCCGTGGAAGCAGGCACCTCATGCCGTTGGGTTTCACTTCATTTCCACCCTCTCCTGAGCACCTGGCCCTTAGACGGGGGGGCTGTTCTCTTCAGCTGAGCCGGGCAGGCCCCCCTGTTGGGAGACTTTCCTGGGCTCCTGGGGCCTTGCTGTCTCTCCAGGTTTTCGGCTGGGCCGGGGTGGACACAGGAGTGGCTCAGAACAGAACATTTTGCCAGGCCGGGCCGACGGCCGTCCATTGTGCTCAGTGGGGACGGTTCTGGAACCCAACATTTGCTCCGGGCCCCGGCTCGAAAACCGATCCTGGCCCAAACATCCCGCAACACCCATGATGCCAGCGAGCTCCAGGCTTCCGTCCTTGGTGAACTCCCACGGGGACAGTCGGCGCAGGGGTAATATACCTGCCCGGGCATGGGTGTGTCACCGGATGGGGCTACAGTCCAGGGGCGGGGCCAAAGCATGTGGGTGGGGCCATGCTGGGGCCCATGTGCCGAGGGCTATAGGGGGCTGGTTAATGGATGCTGAGGGGTTGAGGGGAAGGTGTGAGGGGGCCCTGCTTGATCGCAATCTCTCAGCACTGAGATGTAGCTGCTTCCGGGGAGGGGCAGCTGGGGAACCTTCTAGGGTAACCCTGAGATAGGACCTGGCTCCTGGACTGGGCTGCGAACGTGGGGGAGGCTGCTGGTGGACAGCCCACCCTGGGAGGTAGCCACGTGGGCTCTGTGGGTGGCGGCAAAAGCACCCCTCACTACCCAACCACAGCCCCTATGTCATCAGTCCCGTCCTACTCCTTTTCAGCACTGTCCCCGGGACCTGCCTCCTCCACCTCCCATCACAGCATCCCTGCCCAGCTCCCTCCATTGCTCCCCTCTGCCCGTGGGATGTAAGAGATGCAGAAGAGAGAGGGGTGGAGATCAACCGCTGACTGCCCATGGGCCTGAGTCTGCAGAGAGCCTGAGCCCATCGCTCGGAGAGGAGGGAGCTGCTCTGAATATGCCTCTAGGAGGCAGGACTGGGGCATCCAAACCACAGGCAGCTGGGCTTGGATCGCTGGGAGGTGGGCAGTCTCTGTGGGGGGGTGGTTTCCGGGTAGCCCCTTCTACAGCTCCACAGCACCCCCTGCATGTGATTCTGAAGGGGGATGCTGCATCCCCATGACTGGTGATCAAACATAAAACAGTTTTGCAGCAAGTTGTGGCCCTGGGCTCCAGGCCGCGTGTGTGGGTGGGATGCTGGGGAGAACGGAGGAGCTGTGTCGTGTGTGGAGTGGGGTGCAAGGAGTTGGCCAAACACCTCCCAAAGCAGTGGGAACGCTCATTAGGCCTGGGTTTTCCCTGGGGACCTGGGACTTTGCCGTGAACTGGGGCTTGGAGGGGAATCGGGTGCAGAGAAGAACCACAGAAAGGAACCGGGGGCTGGAATGAAAACGTTGCAGTGGGAGACGAAGCTGTTTAGTGTCTCCAAGAGAATCCGAGAAATATGGTGCTGGAAGGGACTTGGAGAGGGCACCAAGTCCCATCTTCGGCACTGAGGCAGGGCCAAGGAAACCTAGATCAGCCCTGACCGGTGTGTGTCCGACCTGCTCTCAAAATGTGCTCGGACATAGAGGAAGGGAATGTGCATAGAAGAGTTTTATGTCTACACTGAGCCCTGCCAGGTCCTCCCCCAAACCCACTAGCCCCCTGTCTCTCCCAGAGCTGGGGACAGAACCCAGGAGTCCTGCTCTAACCACTAGACCCCACTCCCCTCCCAGAGGCAGGGAGAGAACCCAAGAGTCCTGGCTCCTCGCCCCAATCACTAGACCCCCTACCCACTCCCATCCTGGAACTGGGGATAGGACCCAGGAGCCCTGGCTCCCTGGGGCCCCTGCTCTAATCATTAGACATCACTTCCTTCCCAAAGCCAAGGAGAGAACCCAGGAGTTCTGGCTCCCTTCCCCCCAGCCCCACGTACCAGTGGCTATTCATATCCTCCCCTGTGGCTACAACCCCCCCAGTCCTGGGAGCCAATCTGCTTCGGGGTCAGAGCCTGGCTGCCGGGCAGGAGGAAATAGAAACGAGCCAAGGTTTTATTTTCATTTCCCTAGGATTAAATCTTGGACACAGGCGAAGCGAGCTGTGGGACAGGTAACGGGGGGCTAGCGACCATCCCTGGGGGCCAGAATCGCCCCCTCCCGTCTATCCCCCACCCCACGTCCCCCGACAACCCCCCTGAGATTTGAGTGGCTGGTTTCAAACTTGCAGCAGCTGGGGGGCAATAAGGCAAATCCTGGCCACTCCCCGGCCTCTCGCTGGGGCCCGGCCCCTGCCCCCCGCCCCACCAGCGCAGCCCCGCGGGTCCCCACGCAGCGAGCCGTGCCCGGCCGCCAAGCCCGAGAGCTGCTTGAAAAGTCCTGAGCAGCTGAAAATCCTGCTGCCCCCGGGGCACTTGCGCCCGGTGGGGAGGGGGGCGCAGATGGCAGCGGGCTCTCCCCATGTGCGACTGCTGGGGACGCGTGGTTTCCTCTTGCAGCAGAGACGGAAATGAGTGGTGTTTAATGCCAGGGAGCCCAGACTCCTGGGTTCTCTCCCCAGCTCTGGCAGGGGAGTGGGGTCTAGGGATTAGAACCAGGGGAGGCTGGGAGCTCAGACTCCTGATTTCTTTCTCCAGCTCTGGGAGGGGAGTGGGTCTCGTGGGTTCAAGCAGGGAGGCTGGGAGCCTGGACTCCTGGGTTCTCTCTCCATCGCTTGGAGGAAGGAGTGGGTTAGAATGGGGAGGGGAGCTGGACCCCCTGGGTTCTGGGTGCAGTGGGGCTGTGGCATGAGGTGCTGGCTAAAGAGAGTTTGCTCATTTCTTGGGGTGCTAGTGGGGATGGGCCGGTGTCCCCAGTACACAAGGAGAGCCCTGGGGAACTCAGCACTCAAGAATTGGGATTAGGACATGGAGTGTCCCAACCCTGCTCTGTGCCTCAGTTTCCCCCTCTGCCAGCCCTTCTGTTTGAGCTCAGTGGGTGTGAGGGGGTTAATCCATTGGTGTCCTGTTGTCTCAGTTCTCCAACAGAGTTTGGCTTTAGTCCCAGCCCAGGAGGAGGGGAGATTGGTCAACCAAAGCCCAGCCTGTCACCCGCTGCATTATGGGAAATGCAAATAAGAAAGGGTAAGTGCTCCAATTCAGGTGTAACCCATTCCAGAGCTGGGGCTAGAGTCCACGAATCCTGGCTCAGAGCCCCCCCCTCACTCGACCCCAATCCCCTGCCCACTGCCCCCAAAGCTGGGATAGAACCCAGGAGTCCTGGTTCACAGGCCCCCTGTTGTGCGTTTCCCAGGCCGATCCCACCCCCCCTCCTCGAAGTCAGCTCCAGAGGGGATGGTGGAGCGACTCCAGGAGGACGTCACCTGCTCCATCTGCCTGGACGTCTTGGAGGACCCCGTCTCCATTGAGTGTGGCCACAACTTCTGCCGGGGCTGCCTCGCGGCTCACTGGAGTGGGGTCTCGGCTTGGGGGTACCAGTGCCCCGAGTGCCGGGCTCCCTGCTCCAGGAACCAGATGACCCCAGACACACGTCTGAAAAGCCTGGTGGAGAAAATCAGAGACCTGCCACGTGAAGGGACGTTGACAGGAACAGGGACAGCGAGCCCTGAGGTGAGTGCAGCCCTCCTGAGGCTGGTCCAGAGATGCAGCCACCTCTGGGGCGGGGCGGGGGGGGAACAGCTGCATGTTTGCTCCCTGCAGCACGGTGTCCCCTATCTCCACGCTGGGGCCCTGGGGTCAGGGGGAAGGCCGGCTAAGGGGATTCCTGTGTGCCTTTAGCAACCGGTCAGGTCCCTGGGCTGCTAAGGGGGGAGCTGGGCACTCAGGGCTCAGACCTGCTGATAAGAAATTAACTAGCAAGCTACCAGGGTGTGACTTCAGATGGGGGCCCCTGTGAGGGGACATGGACTAGCTGGAAGTGGGGGGGAGAGGATGGGACATGGGGCCTTTCCCCTCTTGGGGGCACTGGCTTGGATATGGCCCATGGTGGGACTGGCTGGTCCAGGGGGTGGGAATGGGGCTCTGATCCGGGGAAGAAGGGACTCACCAGCTCAGGGGTGGGGTCCCAGCTCTGATCCTGCTCTGTCCCTGCAGCCGGGTCCGGGGGCTCTGCCAGAGGCGGGGCGCCCGGTGCAATTGGTGTGTGTGGATGAGAAAGGGGGCCTGACCCTGGACGAGGATGTCCTGAGCCGCTGTCTGGAGCAGGGTGGGGTGGGGGATGCCCCCGTGTGCCTGGTGTCCATCATTGGGGAGCAGCGCCGGGGCAAATCCTTCCTGCTGAACTACCTGCTGCGTCGTCTCCAGAGCCTGGTGAGTGCAGCCCTGATCCCCTCCCAGAACCAAGGAGATAACCCAGGAGTCCTGGCTCCTGGCCCCCCGCTCTAACTCACTAGACCCCCACTTCCCGTGCCAGAATTGGGGACAGAACCCAGGAGTCCTGGCTCCCAGCCCCCTGCTGTAACCCACTAGACCGTCTAGACCCTTGTCTGTGTGTCTGTCTCAGCCTGAGTCTGCCTGTCCATCATCTTTCCAGTGCGCTGGTCCCCATGCTACTTGCCTGCTAATAAAATACTCACAGTCCCCCTTCCCCCCCACACTAATTGCACCGCCCCCCATGTCTTCTTCTCCCCCCCCCCGCCAGGATGTGAAGGATGGATCCTGGATGGGCCGGGAGGAGGAGCCCCTGGAGGGGTTCAAGTGGCGAGTTGGTGCCCGCAGAGTCACCGACGGGGTGTGGGTGTGGAGTCAGCCCTTCTGGGTCCCCTCCAAGGGGGGCCAGGTGAGTGGGAAGAGGGGTGAGGAAATGGGGTGGGGGGATGAGTGACCGCAGCAGATGTCTACTTGGGGGAGCAGAGCAGACAGAGGCTGGGTGGGCTCAGAGACCGGGGCCTGGGATGGGAGGCAGGGAACACAGTGCCCCCCAGGGGCTTGGTCTCACTGGGTGCTGGGGCATGTGGGGGGCAGAGTGGGGAGCTGGCATGAGACACTGGCCCGTGGCTCCCCCCCCCAGGTTGCCGTGCTGCTGGTCGACACCGAGGGCTCCAAGGACATCGCCAGAGACATGGAGACCAGCGTGAAACTCTCCGCCCTCTCCATGCTGCTTGGCTCCTACCAGGTAGGCAGTAGGGGGCGCTGTGCTGCAGGGAGCGGGGCAGGGCTCAGCAGGGGGCGCTCTCCCATTGCAGGCAGGGCCGGCCCTGATGCCCCAGGTTGGCACTAGGGGGCGCTGTGCTGCGGGGAGAGGGTCGTGCTGGTTTCTGTCTCTAACCCTGTCCTCTCTGATGACTTGCAGATCCTGAATGTTTCCAGCCAGCTAAAGGACCCCGATCTAGAATATCTGGAGGTGAAGGGGGAGTAGGGCAGGACGTGGTGCCATTCTCCTAGAGCCCCAACGGGGTACTCTGCCCATTCTGCAGCTGGGGAAACTGAGGCCCAGAGAGAATCAGTGACTTACCTGAGGTCACATGGGGAGTCTGTGGAACAGCCAGAGATAGAACCCAGGAGTCCTGGCTTCCAGCCTGCCCTCCCCCTGCTTTTTTAACCACTAGACTGCAGTCCCCTCCCAGAGCTGGGGAGAGAACCCAGGAGTCCTGGGGCCGAATTCAGCAGGGCCCAGCTTCTGTGCTGCTCCAGGGTCTGGAATTCGCCCCTGCCCGAGCTCCATGCCGACTGAGAACACGGGTGTTGCCAGGACTCTGAGAAGTCTCAATATTTGGCATCTTGGTCTATTCTGCTCCTACCGTCGGTGGGCAGGGGGGCAAAGAGAGCCCCTGGCATGGGGCGGGGGGAGGGGAACCTTGACTTGCAGTTCTGCCCTTTGGCCACTAGGTGTCTCTGCAGCAGAGGAGGAAAGCCCTGAGACCCGGGGAACAGACCCAGACCAAGCTGGAGGGGCTGCTTTGTGGGTGGGTGGGTGGCAGGGGGGTGTTTGTTGGTAGGATTTTCACCCCCACCTGCCACCAGGGCACACGCTGTCTCCCTGCCCCAGGGATCTCAGCAACCTGCTCTCTCTGCTCTGCAGATGTTTCTGCACGTGGCCGAGGAGGTGGGAAAGGAATACGGGCTGGAGTCCATTCAGGTGAGACGACATTCCCCCCCAACCTCCCACCCTGCCCCATGCAATCTCCTCGCCCCACTGCACGGGATGCTCCTGCCCCAGCCACTCCCTGCCCCACACCCGAGGGGTTCAGCCTTCCCCTCCTGAGATTGTCCTGTCTCCCCTGCAGCAGCTAGACCTGCTGGTGCGGGATTGGAGCAGCTCCTTGGTCCTTGGAACGGACGGTGGGAAGGAGCATCTGAGAGACGTCCGACAGGTGACTGTGGGGCTTGACACGGGGCCTTTGCCCTCTGGGGGGTGCTGGCTCTGATCCGGCCCCAGGGCAAGGGCCTGGCTGGCTCAGGGGAGCAGGGAATGGGTCCCGGAGTATTTCCCTCTGTTGATATCTCACTTTGCTGATTCCCCTGGCTCTGGCAGATGCTGGCGGCGTCTTGCAAACACCCGAAGGCCTTGGAAGCGCTGACCAGAAGCAAAACCCGCTGTTACCTGATGCCCTTCCCTGGCAAGTGGATCATGACTGGAAGCCAGGGATGCCTGAGAGGTAACGGACACGGGACAGCGGCTCTGAGCCTGCACGACGGGGCGTCTCCGTCTCTGCCGGGGAACGGGCCGTGGGGGGACGCTCCGGCTCTGGGTTCATTGCCATGTCCCTCCCCTTTGCAGACATGGATGAGGATTTCCGGGACAGCCTGAGGGACTACGTCACCGGCCTGGTGGCCTCAGCCGGTCAACACATCTGGAGGAACCGGCACGGGGCGCTGGTGACCGGGTCACAGCTCGCTGCCAAGATAAAGGTGGGGATTGGCCAGCTGGGCATGGGGTCTCAGTAGTTGACGCTCTCCCCTGGCAGTCAGCGCTGGCCCCAGTACCTCATGGTGGCACTAGGGGGCGCTGTGCTGTGGGGAGCGGGGTGGGGGCTTCGCCCTTTTTGCTGAAGTTTTGTTAATTAAGAATGAGGGTTGTATTTATAGCCTAGCAGAATCCCAGCTTGGATGATTCTACTGAGCCTTCCTAAATCATCCAGGGAAGTTCTTCATTTCCCCCACCAAACTGATTCCCACCGTTGTCTTATGTCCGTTCCCCAGCTGCCCTGCCCCAGAGGTGGCTGCATCTCAGCGCCGGGCGAGCCATCCCCATGTTCCCACTTTTCTAAGCCCTGTGGAGTCTGTATTGTGATTTCTTGTGCTTTCTTTGCAGAAATTCTCTGATCTGATGAAGAAACGTTGCTTCGGCTTCTCCTCTCCCGCTCAGGTACCTTCTCTGCCTGTCTCTGCCTCTGACCTGATCAAGGGGTGTGTCCCTCCTCCTGAATTCACTTCCGATGTAAAACTGTAGCCTACTTTTGTCTTTTTCTGCTGCCTCACCGAAAGGTGGCTGCATCTCATGTCGGGCAAGCCATCTCCGTGTCGTGTTGCTGGGAGGCTATTCCCCAGCTGCTCCCCGCCCCCCAACCCCAGAAGTGGCTGCATCTCAGCACTGGGTGAGCCCATCCCTATGCAGTGTTGTGTGTGGCTGTTCCCATATGCTGCTCCCCAGAGGTGGCTTCATCTCAGGAGTGTGTTGACACTTGTTGAAAAATGTTTGTTTTTTTTCCCCATGCAGAGAAATTTGAGTTTCCAGCGAAATATCAAAAGCTGAAATACTTTGATCTGGTGTCTAATGGGAATTATAGTTTGGCTCTGCATGCTCCCTTTTCTCTCCATAAATCAGCTCTCTGGTCAGACTGCAGCTCCCATGATGCACTATAGAGGAGGGAGATGGTGCATCATGGGAGTCCCTGGCTGTGGAGCATCATGGGGCTTGTAGTTTGGGTGCCTGGCTTCAGGCTGAGCTGCCGTGGTGGCTCATGGGAGTTGTAGTTTCACACTGGCTAGTGGCATCGCTCTGTTACATGAGGTTGCTGCAGTTGCTAGGTGGAGACAGGGCCCCATAAACTGTGGCTCACCCCGGCCTTGTCCTCCCTCTGCAGATGGCCATCACCTTCCACAACCAGAGAGTCCTGGACAGGGCCAGTGCAGACCACGCTGTGTTTCTGAAGGAGAAGGTGAGTCTGTGCGGCGGGGGCCCCTGTGCCCCAGCCAGGGGAACCCCAGAGAACCGTCTTGGCCAACCCCACTGGCTGTTGGCTTCATGTAGGAGAGGGGACCTCATATCTCCAGCTTCCAGGATGACTATAGAGATGGGAGGCTCAAACTCCTGCACCGGGGTTGGGGGTGGGGGGAATAAGTTTGCCCTGTGGCCAGCTGCAGTAGTGGAGGTGTCATGGCCCAGGTGGTGAATGGGCTGGACCCGGAGTCGGAACTCCTGGGTTTTGTCCACGGTGCTGCCACAGATTCCCCTGGGTGAGTCAGTGAGTCTCTCTGGGCTTCAGTTTCCCCATCTATCAAAGGGGGAGAATGATCCTGCCTTGGCGAGTGTTTGCCTGTGAGCTTTTTGGGTTCGTGTCCCTCACCTGGCGCGAGGGGGCCCCCATCTCAGTCCAGGTCTGTACCGTGCCTTGCGCGAGGGGGCCCCCCCATCTCAGCTGGGGGAGCAGGGTCCGTGCAGCACTTGTCCCTTCTAACGCTCTTGGCCGTCTCCTCTCCCGGCGGGCGCAGGACGGCGACTCCCGGACCCTGATCTCCTGCCTGAAGGTGCGGCCGGGCAAGATGGCGGAGCTGTTCGCGGAGCGGCGCGGGCAGTTGCTCTGGCGGTGCCAGACGGACATGCGGGAGCCGGCGCCGGAGAAAGCGGCCCAGCTGACAGAGCTGGAGGAGGAGTTGACAGGGGAGGCCGAGACCTTCCTGCAGAGCTACGGGAAGCGCTTCAAGAAATTCGTCATCGCGGCGGGCGTGGGCGCGGGGGCGCTGGTGCTGGCCCCGGTGGGCGGCGCTGCCGGCATCGGGATCGCTGCCGCTGCTCTCGGCATGGCTGAGGCAGCAGCCCTTGGTGCTGGCGTGGGTGCCGTGGCCGGGGTTGTCGTGGGCGGGGGCGTGGGCGGGGGAGTTGGTGGGAACATCGCCCAGAAGGATAGGCAGAGGGCCAAGGCTGCTGTCGGCAGGAGGGAGGAGGAGGACGGCACTGAGGATCTGTCTGAGGACACACCCCTGATCTGATCAGTGCCCCCCACCCCAATCTAGGGCTGAGGAATGGGGTGACGGGTCTGCCGCGTGGCACAGACATGTTTCCCACAAGCCTCCCCAGAGTGGGGAGCCTTCGCCCCCAGATTCTAAGAAGGGACCTTTAGATCCTCTTGTCTGACCTGCTGTGCCACCCAGCTGGAGAATGCCGCCCACTTCCCCCTGCGTTGGGTCGGATATCTCCCGTTGGACTAAATCATCTCCCGGAAAGGCGGCCAGTCTGGCTCGGAAGCCAGAAGAGATGGAGAAATCACGGGTTTCTCGAGGAGCTGGTCCCGCGGGTGAATGACCTGCGCTGTGAGAAATCCAGTGCCTCATTTCCAATGGGAGTTTGTCTGGCTTTAACTTCCAGCCCTCGGTTCTTGCTCTGCCTTCCTTCGATGTTGCAGGGCCACTCCGCTGCAACACGAAGTGCTTGGAAATGCCCCGTCGATGGTCATGTCCCGAGATCACCCGCTGGGGGTGACCATGGGCGCCTGGCTTATTTCTTACAACGGCAGTCCGGTGATGCCGTCCTGGGGGATTGATCTTCAGCCGCCCCTCTGAGCGGGAAAGTGGGTCCAGGGGAGAGGGCACAGGAAGACGTGGGTTTCCTGCTCTACCATGGACTTCTTCTGTGACCTTGGCCAAGTCACTTCGTTACTCTGTGCCTCAGTTTCCCATCTGTATAATAAAGATAATAATGCATTGAAAGATCGTGAGGGGTTTGAGCTCTACTGAGAGAAAGCGCTCTGCAAGAAACAGGCATCATAATTTATTCCAAGGGAGGGCTATAAAACCTTCCGAAGCTAAAGGAAATCGACACCGGTGAACTTCACCATTATTGTAGAGAACTCTACTGGGCCTTCAAGTCAACCATGGTCTTCCTCCTGGATCTCTCAGCTCTTTTAGACATGGTGGGCCCAGGGCATGAAGTGCCTTGAAGATCAGGCTGAGACCATGAACTTGATTCAATATTGTAGCTCAGACATGGCCAGGTGGGCATAGGGCCCCTATGTCCCACCATCTTCTTAATATTTCACCTAAGGGGGTCGTGTGCGGATTCTGCCGAATGGTGGGAACCAGTCGCTTGTCACGGCTATTGCCAGATGGTTGTATGAGTAACGGTTTTAGAGCCAGGTCCCCGGTAGGATATTGAGTTCTGAATCTTCTGGGAGTCAAACGTGAGGCTGGGAGCCGACCTGGTCAACGTGAGAACAATGCACATCCATGGAGGCAGCCTCTGCTTGCTGGCTTGACAAGATGCAGGCTGGCCATCTACAGAGACAAACCAACCCCAAGGGAATGCTGAGGAGAGGGGGAACCCTGGGCTCAGAGACAGGAGCTTGTGACTGGAGAAGAGCAGAAGAAATGGCCCATTACAGAGGAGTGACTTTGCCAGCAGGGGGAACAGGGGATCCCAGCTCTCTGGACTGGACAAGTGCTGTGAGAACCAACCAGCGGGAGAGTTTGACTGTAAACCTGTGAGGGATGGGGGGGCTGTCATGAATAGGGGGAAGGGTAGCAAACTTTATGTATCCTTGGCAACTGTACTGGATTGCCTTACCTGTAAGGGGTTAAGTAGTTCAACTAACCTAGTTGGCACCTGACCAGAAGGACCAATAAGAAAAGAAAATACTTTCAAATCTGGGGGAGGATTTGTTTGTTGTTGTTGTTCCCTCTCTGGACACAGGGAGAAGCCAAGCCAAACAGGTACAACATCTCCTGAAAATATACCTGGAATAATCCATCTAAATCCACAGAAATTGTAAGTAGGGCAAGGAAATGCGTTAGGTTATCTTTTGTTTTAGCTTGTGAATTTTCCTATGCTACAGAGCTACTTTTATTCCTGGTTTTTTTATAACTGTGAAGCTGAGCCCAGCGGGGAGTCCTCTGTCTTTTAAATCTTTTTATTACCCTGTAAAGTTACCTTTCATTCTGATGTTGCAGGTGTGATTCCTTTATTTTTTTTCTTTATAAATAAAGTTCTTCTTTTAAGAATCTGATTGATTTCAGTGTCCTGAAGTCAAAGGGTCTGGTCTGTGCTCACATTGCTAAAGCAATTGGTTGGTATAGTATTCTGAAGTCTCCCCAGGAAAGGGGGGAAGTATTTTGGGGGGATAGGGATTCCAAGTGACCCTTCCCTGAATTTTTGTGTAAATCACGTGTCGGTGGCAGCAATACTGACCAAGGACAAGGAAAGGAATTTGTGCCTTGGGGAAGTTTTAAGCTAAGCTGCTAGAAATAAGCTTAGAGGGTCTTTCATGCAGGTCCCCACATCTGTACCCCAGAGTTCAGAGTGTGGGGGGGAATCCTGACAGGGGTGTAGGTGGTCCGGCCTAGCTGTCACAATGGGGCCGAGGTCTGCCCACCAGGGATGGGCGTCGCCAGGCAGGAGTTGGAGGAATCACAATTCCAGGTCCCACAGACAAGAGTCCGGGTCACAGTCAGGCTGGAGTCGGAGACCAGAGATCGGGAGACAAAGCAGAGTCTGGCGCTGCAGCAGGCCAAGGTCTGGGGTTGCCCAGCCCATTTCCTGGAGGTTAAGTAGGGGAAGCTGACGAATCAGAGGGCTGCAGGGTACTGTCATGCTGGATCTTGTGGGTGGTACTTCCTGTGGTGCCTACTCCCCACAGTGCTCCCTGGCTGTGCCTCAGCCTGGCCCCCGGTGGCACTGTGGGAATATTAGCTGCCCTGGACTCTGCAGACCTGGGTTCTAGTCCCCAGGTCCTCACAAAACCTGCCTGAGGGCGAGGTGTGCAGGTGAGCATGGACCTGAAGTGGAGCAGGGGAGCTCTGTTTCCATGGAGGCAGCAGATCTACGTGCATTGTGGGTGTGCCGAAGGCAGGTGACTGGGCCCTGGACTGTAATGGGATCAGGCATGTAGGTTGCCAGCCTGCAGTGAGATACAGAGGGGTTTGCAGAGCACCTGGTGTGATAGGGTCCCTTGAATGTAACCTGGAACTGGGGTATTGCTGAGTCCCTCGAACCAGGGCTTTCTCTCACCCTGTGTTGCTCTTGCTAAGCCACAAACCTCTGCCACATACCGCACTCACACAGACATCCACAGGCAAGGACCCACCCTGATGAGTTACATGAATACTTCTCCCCGTTCACTCATGAACTAACAATAAAGAGGCTCCAGCCAATTCCCCCCCCCAGCCTACAATCCCAGGGCTATACCATCTTGCCCTGCTCAGAAGCCTGACCAGTGTAAGTTTATAACCCAGTCCAGCCCTCCCTCAATGTGGAGAGGGCATGCACCAGCTCTTGTTCCTGAGCAGATTTCCCAGGCACTACAAGCAAATCCCACTGGTTTAGGTAAAATATAAAACCTGTTTATTAACTCCAGAAAGACAGGTTTGAAGTGATTATAAGTAATAAGTGTCAAAATTGATCAAAGTAAACAATAAATAAAAATAATAAAATTGATTATAAGTAATAAGATCAAAATTGGTTTCCTAAGAAATAAAAGTAAAATCCCAATCTGAGTTCTATAAACTAGACAGGATTTGAATCAAGCCTTGTCTCACCCTGATGGTCTAGTTCCTTACTACACAGGCTGGGATTTTCCGGTCCAGCCTGGGCCCACCTCCCCAGTTCAGTCTTTGTTCTCCAAGCGTGTTTCTAGGTGTTCAGTTGGGGGTGGGGGCGGGGGGGGGGAGTGAGGCCAAGTGATGATGTCACTTCCCCGCTTTTATAGCTTCTTCCAGCCTGCTGGAAAGAGCCTTTGCTATGACATGAGTCAAGCAGCCTCCATTGTCTGCGTGCTCTCTCTGAGAAGTCTCCATTGTATACGGATCCTGGGATAATCCTTGGGAGTGTGGATTCCTTTAATGGGCCATCAGCATGTCTGGCTGCTCCGCTGTTGCACCTGAAAGGCTGGTTGTGGGTGTTCCCAACCTCTCAACATATTTCAGTCATGCACACAGAGCAAAATTTCATAACTTCCCATCCAGAGACAGCACACACAGTCCAACCGGGTATTAATGTTCAACAGATCAAGACTTTTAAAGTGATACCTCACAAGGCAGACTTTGTACAGAACATCGTAATTATATGACCATGGTGATTATGGGGGTGCCAGGTTGTTGCTTTGAGGCCCAGCGTGCCACACTGGGTCTGCAAGTTGCCAGTGGAAAGCAAGAGTATCCCCTGGTGGGCACAGACAGGGCTCCATCCTGCTGGCGGCAGAGGGTGGTGATTACCCGTGGACACCCCGGGAAACCCCAAACCAGCATCGCAGTTATTCCATGGGAAGTTGGTGTGGGAAGTGCAGGGCTGGGTGATACGCTCACGGAGATGCCCTGCTGCATTATGGAACAGCTGAAGTTTTCTGAGTGGCGGAGCCTTGGGGTGACACATTGCTGCAGCCCAGGGGAGAGGCGATGGCCTAAATAACCAAAGCTAAATCATCATCGGCTAGGATGGGTGACGGCTCGTAGGCAGCCGGAGATGATTGACAGCGCAACTCGCAGGTGCTGCTATGCAAGAGCTCAGCATCAGGGAGGAATCCAGGAACGGTCCTAGATGACGGAGTCTGCAGCAGGGCTGAGGGGTCAGCTTCGGCCAGGTTTTCAGAGAGGTAAGTTTGCTTTGCCGTAAGGCCTTAATTCCTGGATTTTAGAAGATTAGTTTTGCTTTGCCTCAACTCTGCAGTTCCTGGAGTTCAGAGATTTAAATCCAGGGGCATCCAGTGTTCAGGAATGGTCTGAAACAGCCTGAGGCAACCTTAACGCTGGTAGTGATGTGTTGGGGGAAGAAGCGTGCGGCTTTGCTCTGTTCCTCACTCCTGCATAGAGCGGGATATTTGCTTTGGCGCCAGGAAAGGGTGGATTATGGGTTATATCAGAAGGAATTCTGAACCTTTGACCCCAAGTGCCAACAATTCTCTGTCAGCAGAGAGTATCTCACAGTACTAATTTAGGAAACGAACTTGATATCTTTTTGTGATGAGATGACAAGGTGGGGTGATAAAGGTCATTGTGTTGACAGAATAAACGCATGCTTCTGTAAGGCATTTGACTTGCACCAAACGCCATTTGGATTAAAAAGCTAGAATGATGCAACATGAACTTGGCCCACAGTAAATGGATTAAAAACTGGCTAACTGATAGGTCTCGGAATGTAACTGTAAACAGGAAACCCGCTGAGTGGGTGTGTTCCTAGTGGGGTACTGCAGGGAGCAGTTCAGATTGTACCCTGGGTATGTCTCATATACATCTAGGACCAAAGAATGCAGGCCCTACTTACAGGCTGGGGGACTCAATCCAGCAGGGCGGTGACTCGGAAAAACATTTGTGGGGTTGTGGTGAATAATCAGCTGAACGTGAGCTCCCAGTGTGAGGCCGTAGCCAAAAAGGCTAATGTGATCCTGGGAATGCATAAACAAGCAGGAGGAGAGAGGTTATTTTCTCTCTGTATTTGGCCCTGGTGCAACCGCTGCGGGAATCCTGTGTCCAGTTCTGGTGCCCACAATTCAAGAAGGATGTTGATAAATTGCAGAGGGGTCAGAGAAAAGCCACAAGAACGATTGAAGGATTAGAAAACCTGCCTTCGAGTGATAGACTCAAAGAGATCAGTCTACCCATCTGAACAAAGAGACGGTTAAGGGGTGACTTGATCCCAGTCTGTCAGTATCTCTGTTTAATAACAGGCTCTTCAGACTAGCAGAGGAAAGGTCTAACACGATCCAATGGCTGGAAGTTGAAACGAGACAAATTCAGACTGGAAATAAGGTGTAAATTTTTAACAGGAGATTAACCACTAGAACAATTTACCAAGAGTCGTGGTGGGTTCTGCATCACTGGCATTTTTAAAAACCAAGATGACATGTTTTTCTGAAAGCTCCGCTCTCGGAATGATTTTGGGGAAGTTCTCTGACCTGACTAGACGATCACAAGGTTCCTTCTGTCCTTGGAATCTAGGAATCTATGAGTTCACTGTGAAAATTTCCCACAAGGCTGTGATACCAGGCTATCTACCCACAATGCAGGACCCTTCCCACAGACCCACAGACCCAAGTGATATTAACAGCATGGCTGAAAGGTAAAGTCAGCCAAGATGCCAGTAGTGGAGATGCATCCAGGGACTGCATCCTGCTGTTCAACTTTCCCCTGTTCTGGGGCGGATCCATCGGCCAATAGCTCGGCAAAGGATCCTGTGACACTTCACCCCATATTCTTCCCAGTGATATTATTATATGAGTATGACATAATCATAATGTATTTTATGCAAGATAAGTCATGTGAGGTGTCATTGGAAAGGTTATGGTTTGCTGAATATGATTATCCTACTTGAATGCATGTATCATGTCTGTATCTGAAGTTAGAAATATTTCTATGTATCTGTATTTGAAATGTGTTTTCACCTGGGGAATGCCCACTAGACAAGCTGTTTTCACTCTTGATATTCGGTGGGGAAGGGCCTATTCAGTGCAATGGCACATTAGGAGAACAATAGGTCTTAGGAGAAGCTTATCTCCCACCTGGGCAGCCTTCCTGAGGACGCTACAGACAGCCTCCAAGTAATGGCTGCTGTGACCCTATAGGGACATGTGACCAGGTCACCTGGTGCTGGAGTCCATCTTGGGATGTCAGTCTTTTTCCACTGACTGGCGTGGGAACCAAGCTTTGAAACAAAAGATTCCCACCATATGCAAAAGCGATATAAGGCAGGGGAGTGACATCATCAAGGTTCTTCACTGACTCCCTCACCCATGGAGACTCCTGGAAACACCTGAGGAACAAAGACTGAACCGGGGGAAGTGCTGGACCCAGGCAAAAGGGATTTTTAGCCTGTGAATGGAACACCTGGGAATTCCAAGCTGCAAGGAAGTGCAGCTGGCCCCTTAAGAATCTGCAGCCTGTTTGTATCATCTCTTAGGGTGATAATTTGCAATTCATCTCCAAACTATTTAGTGTATTAAGCTTAGTTTGTATTTTTTGTTTATTTGCTGGGAAATCTGCTTCGATCTGTTTGCCATCCCCTATAATCACTTAAAATCTTTTGCAGTTGTTAAACTTGCTTTTGCTTTATCTAAAACCTGTGTGTGGGAGTCATAACTTGGGGCAGAAAGCGGTTGCATATTCCTCTCCACATTGAGGGAGGGGGTGAATTTCATGAGCTTATGCTGTACATTTCCTTGTACAGTGCAAGACAGGATAATTTTTGCATTTATACTCCAAAGGGAGTGTGTGCCTTCAGAATTGGGAGATGCCCTAGCTGTAGCCTTCCCATGCAGGGGCTGGTCAGAGTGTCTGCATGTAATTGCAGCTGCATGTGTCCCTACCTACATCTGTGCTGGTGAAAGTGCAGGCTGGAGACTGGAGAGGGCTTGGCAGGTTGTCCCAGCAATATGGTGAAGAAGGGAGCCCAGGCAGGTGGGTCAGGGAGGCTCAGTGGTACCCCAGTTCCAGGTGGCACCCTGGGAGGAGGAACCCGTCACAGATCCTACATGATTGATATGCACTGAGTTTAAAAGCCTGAAAGGTCAGAAAGCTCCAAAATGGACACCTGTGTAAAGAGGGAAAATAGGAATTAGAAATGTCAGTCTGGTGTTTCTTGGGTGATGGACACGACCCCCAAGAGAAAGCCTCAGGAAGTTTGTGTGGAGAACCCTAGCTGACAAATTATGGCAGTTAGCCAGCCTTCTCCCATCTGCAAAGTTCTGAAAGGAAGAATCTAGGAACGTCCGTAACCCGTGATTGATCCTGAAGTTAAAATCCCACAAGAAGAGATATACGGTGTATTCCTGTTTCTCTGAAACCCTGTTATCCAAACCTCTGCATTATCTGAGTCCCTTCCTTGACCCCCAGCATGAAACACCTGTCCTCTGCAGCATGATCTCATGTATCTCATGCTCGGGGACCAGGAAGGGATTTGGACAATGTGGAGGTCCAGATAAGAGAGCAGAGACCCCCCAGCCAGGAATAGAAGGAGGACGATGACCCGCTCCAGACATGTGGGAGGCCACCCTGTTACTGAACGGCTCCTGCCCTCTGGGTTATCCAAACTCCCAATAAACTGAATAAAATCCATGTCCCACCCAGGCTATTCAGATTGACTGTATCCTGTTGCAAAGAATGAAACTACACGAGTCAGCCTGTATTTCTCTCTCACTGTAAAAAGGATGATAGCTAAAGAGATAAGTGGTTCAACTTGTTTGGCCACCTGTTACTAAATATGAAAATTTGTCGCCTGACTTGCCCTCAAAGACGCATCCAGAGACCCTTGAAGGGAACTTGTGCCGAAATCTAGTAAGAACCGTACAGCCGCTGCCAGCACCAGCTGAAGTGTAGACGAACCCAGCGGAACTAAAGCTCCATCTAGGTGTAGAGGCTGAGTTGGAAAATCCACATCTAGGTCACACAGACAGGTACCGATGGCTTGTTTTCTGCATGTAATTCCCTTCTACTCCAACACTGTATGGGCTATCCTCTGTTTAACTACTTACATGTTTAGGCTGTGAAGTCTGAGGATGGCTTAAGGGCGTAATGGGTTTATACTTTGCCAGCCAAACGCTGTCCTAAATGTCAAGAAATATTTTAAGGAGAGCGGGTTGAGAACTTTTTGTTAAATGAATTTTGACTGAAAAAGGGCTTTTGGACCAAAATGAAAATGTTTGTTTTTGTCCAAAAAACTTGTTTTCCTGACAAAAATAAAACCGAATATGAAACAATTCCCATTTTTATAAAAATTATGTTCCTTTTCTCTCATAGTCGAAAAGTGTCTGTCTGTCTGTCTGTCCATCAGTCAGAGAGTGAGAGAGGTGGGGGGAGGTTAATTTAAAAAGTGAGGGAACGGAGAGAAACGGAATGATTTTGAAAGGAAATGAAAATGGTCATGTCACCATTTTTGTGCTGACGAGGTGACTGAGCCATTTGTTGAGAGAGGGCAGCACAATATTCTCCTAAGAGGATCACACGGGACCCACAGACAGTTCACAGAGAGTCTGTATCCACTGAAAGCAAAGCTATTTCCTCTAACGTAGCTTCCGTATAAAGAAGTGAAACCTTCTTGCTGGGAATGGGTTGGAAGGGATGTCACAATGCTGTTTGCACAGTGTTCTGTTCTGTGTATCATGCGACCACTGGGAAGACCTCATCTGTAATCCGGCACCTGTCTATTCAGCTTAACAATGGGGAGGCTCAGGGGAGCCTGAAGCCCATCTGAAAGTACCTACAAGGGAAATAGAAATGAGATCTTAGAGGCCTCGTCCATCGCTTTGGTCTGATGCAGCCCATTGGCTGGAAGTTGAAGCTAGACAAATTCAGACTGGAAATAAGGTGTCAGTGTTTAACAGTGAGAGTCACTGCCCATTGGCATGGCTTACCAAGGGGCGCGGGCAATTCTCCATCACCGACCACAGTTTTTCTAACAGATTTGCTCTAGTTGAACCAGGAATTAGTTCCTGGACATTCTCTGGCCCGGGTTATAAAGGAAGCTCAGGCTAGATGATCACAAGGGTCCCTTCTGGCCCAGGGATCTGTGAGCCTATGTTGCAGCAAGAGGGCTCTGTGCTGGGCCAGGTGCAGAGAGGGGATGCTGGGATGCTCAGGGGGACAGAGAGCCCATCTTGTGGGAGGAGACTCAAAGAGCCTGGCTCATTCAGCCTAATACGAGGGTGAGAGGGGCGGTAGGCCTGGGGGCAGAGGGACGCCAAGAATGGGGAAGAGCCATGGAAGCAGAAGGACAATGGGGGCTGACCCAATCAAGGTGGGAAAGGAGAAGGTGGCTCCCAGCCCCCAGAGAAGGCAGTTTCTGGAAAAGCCTCCCTGTGGGGTTGCGGGGGAGGGGCAAGAAACCCAACTTGTCTGGAGAAGGAGGTTGAGAGGAAGCAGAAGTCACTTGGGACTGGCGTCTGCAGAGAGTTCGGTGCTGTGCTGCTATGGTCCCAGATGTGGAGATGTAGCCTGAGAAACCCCTGTTGGAGCAGTGCAGGGTCGAGCCCTTTCTAGATAAAGGCTCTGATTCTTTCTTCTCCCATGTTCACCGGGAGGCTGACTGGGGAGTGCCTGCAACAGGCTGCCATGGGGCGGCACTAAGGAGCAATCTCCCAGATTGAAACACCGCTGAATTCTGCCCCTTCAGATCCGGGAATGAGGGGTTCCTAGTTTGTGTCCACAGAGACTGGGAGCTGCAAGTTGTTATCGCTGCAGTGAGAGGTGTTCGTTGTGTGGCTGTCTGGGGAGAATGAAGGGGCACCTGGAGCCCCTGGCATGGGGGGCAGATGGATCCCCTTGCATAGGGGGAGGGGCAAATGGAGGCACAGGGAGTGCCTGTTGTGGGGGGAAGGGAGCACACAGAGCCCTGGCTGCTCCCTGTAAGTGACTCTCTGTTACCCTGTATTTCCCCCATTATTATTTGTTTCCTTGCTGGCTGGGCACTCACCCCTTCAAGGTGTCAGAGTGTTGCCCCCACCCAGATGCTGGGACCCAGCTGAGACCGAGGGTCTGCAGTGCAGGGACACGTTCATTGCTCCCAGCGACCGGCTGTCTGATCTCCAGCAGCCAGGGGCTCTGTGTGTCCCCCATTCTCCCCGTTTCTGGTTTTCCGATTTTCACGGAAACCCGCCGGGCTCTGGCCATTGATGCATAGAACAGCCTCAGAGATTTTGGGAGGGATCAGAGGTGGCGTTGGGAAGGGAGTGTGTTGCAGCTGGCCGGCCAAGTGGAGAAATCCCATCACGGGAAGTGCAGCCCCTCGATTAGTTCATCTGGTTAATTTTTCAGACATGTTCCAGGTGTGTAAGTTCCACCTTGCACTTGCTGGGGACCAGACACTTGGTGCTGGATCGCCTGGTGTGGGTGGTGCTGTAAATACACCCCCTCTCCCCAGCATTTGCCCACTCAACCCAATGGCGCTAACCCTGCCGGGCTGTGAACACCACGAACCCAACGGGGCCTGAGGACGTGTCAGGCAAGATTGAAATTAGTTTCACTTGGGAATCAGATGTGGGAGAACGGAGAAGAGGGAAATGTTTCACAGGTCTAGTAAGAGCCTGAAAATTTCTCTTTCCATTGGAAAACTGCAGGAGCAAGGAGTCCTGTCTCCCATTCCCCTTTAGTCCAACCACTAGACCGCACTCTCCTCCCAGAGCTGGGGAAAGAACCCAGGAGTCCTGGCTCCCATTCCCCTTTAGTCCAACCACTAGACCGCACTCTCCTCCCAGAGCTGGGGAAAGAACCCAGGAGTCCTGGCTCCCATTCCCCTTTAGTCCAACCACTAGACCCCACTCTGCTTCTGGAGCCAAGGGTAAAACCCAGTAGTCTTGGCTCCCAGCCCTGCCTTGGTCTAACCACTATACCCTACTCCCCTCTGTCTGTCCCTTGAAGCCAGCACCAGAGGAGATTATGCAGAGAGTCCGGGAGGACGTCCCCTGCTCCATCTGCCTGGATATCTTGGACGACCCCGTCTCCATTGAGTGCGGCCACAAAGTCTGCCGGGGCTGCCTCGCGGCTCACTGCAGCTCGGTGTCGTCCCAGACATACCGGTGCCCCGAGTGCGGCCACCCCTGCTCCAAGCACAGGATGATCCCAGACACACGCATCAAAAACCTGGTGGAGAAAATCGGAGACACACCACAGGAGGGGAGAGAGACAGAGCGGGTGAGAATAGTGGATGCTGGAAACGGGACACGGGGCCTTTCTCCGCTAGGGGGTGCTGGCTCTGATCCAGGAGGCCGGTGACCGGCTGACCCAGGGGTTGGGAATGGGACATGGGGCCTTTCCCTCCAGGGGGAATCAGCTCTGATCTGTCACCAGGGCGGGGGACAGGCTGGCTCAGGGGGATGGGAATGGGGCAGGGGGCTCTGCTCTGGGGAGCTGGGGACTGGCATGCTCAGGGGCGGGGTCCCAGCTCTGACCCTGCTCTCTCCCTGCAGCAGGGGCCAGGGGCTCAGCCAGCGCCGGGGCGCCCGGTGCAACTGGCGTGTCTGGACAAGGAAGGGGACCTGATCCTGGACGAGGAGGCCCTGAGCCGCTGCCTGGAGCAGGGTGGGGTGGGGGATGCCCCCGTCTGCCTGGTGTCCATCATCGGGGAGCAGCGCCGGGGCAAATCCTTCCTGCTGAACTACCTGCTGCGTCGTCTCCAGAGCCTGGTGAGTGTAAACGGAAGCAGGAGTGAGCTGTGGGTGTGAATGGCCCCATCCTGCCCCCTGCTGGAGGAATCAGAGCTGCACACGTGTCTGTGAGTGCCCCCCTCCACATGTCCAGGTAGCTGGAGCCATGACTGGACCCTAGTGTGTCTCTCTGTCTAAAAGTAGTGTGTCTGTCTATCTGTTTGCACCCTAACGTGTCCGTCTGTCTATCAGATTCCGAGCATGCCCACCCATCACCAAGTATTCCTCACCACCCCCACCCCGCGCTCGCACAGTGAACTCCCTGTGACGGTTTGGGGTTCAACCCAGACTAGGGAGGGGTGTTGTCACTGCTGTCCTCTGCTTTCAATGCTGTGATGGCACCTGGACACCAAGAGGCAGCCGACAAGCCTGCAGGCCACACCCAGGCTCCCACTGTCCCGTTGCTTTTTGCAGAGGGACCCCAACACACTGTCCCGAGTCACCCCAAAACCCCCTGCCAAGGTGATGAATTGCTGGGTTTCTCAGAACTGCAAGTTTCGGGTCATGGTCTCAGCCTCCCTGTCCACCCTGCCAGCAAACCCTTCAGGACTTGGCAAGCTCTCTCCCCGTCTTGGGTGAAAGAAACACTGAACCCCGACTCCTGGGCTCCCCAGAGACGTCTCCCCGCAGTGCCCATCCCGCTCCTGCAACACGCCCAGAAACCATTCAGTGCGTTGCTCCTGGATGGAGACAATGCGCTGCCCCTTATCGATTTAACCGAGTCTGGCAAACACGCTGATCCCAATCCCAGCCCTGGGCCGGTTAATATCCAAAGTCAGACAAGGCTGATTAAAGAAAAGGCCTCAGGGTTAGGTGACACCTTCGTGTGAGGAGTAAAGCTGGAAAGGGCGACACACAAAGAGAAGGGAGAATACGCTTCTCAGTCTAATGCTGAACTTCTGCAAGTCACAGTCTTGGCCGTGGCAGGTTTCTCCCCTCCAATCATTTCCTGGAGCCTTCAGCCCCCTTGGTTGAAGGACCCACCACTCTGTGATTTCAGGAGCTCTGTTCTGGTTAGTCCCACCAGTGCAGGATAACGCCAATGTCTCTGTCCTAAATATAAAGGGAAGGGTAAACCCCTTTAAAATCCCTCCTGGCCAGAGGAAAAACCCTTTCACCTGGAAAGGGTTAAGAAGCTAGGATAACCTCGCGGGCACCTGACCAAAATGACCCATGAGGAGACAAGATACTTTCAGAGCTGGAGGGGGGGAGAAACAAAGCCTCTCTCTCTGTCTGTGTGATGCTTTTGTCGGGGACAGAACAGGAATAGAGTTTTAGAATTTAGTAAGTAATCTAGCTAGAGATGCGTTAGATTCTGTTTTGTTTAAATGGCTGAGAAAATAAGCTGTGCTGGATGGAATTGATTTTCCAGTTTTTGTGTCTTTTTGTAACTTAAGGTTTTGCCTAGAGAGATTCTCTATGCTTTGAATCTGATTACCCTGTAAGGTATTTACCATCCTGATTTTACAGAGGTGATTCTTTTTACTTTTTCTTCTATTAAAATTCTTCTTTTAAGAACCTGATTGCTTTTTCATTGTTCTTGGGATCCAAGGGTTTGGGTCTGTGTTCATCTATGCAAATTGGTGAAGATTTTTATCAAGCCTTCCCCAGGAAAGGGGGTGTAGGGTTTGGGGAGGATTTTGGGGGGAAAGACGTTTCCAAACGGGCTCTTTCCCTGTTATATATCTGTTAGACGCTTGGTGGTGGCAGCAATAAAGTGCAAGGGCAAAAGGTAAAATAGTTTGTACCTGGTAAAAATAAGCTTAGAGGGTTTTCATGCAGGTCCCCAGATCTGTACCCTAGAGTTCAGAGTGGGGAAGGAACCTTCACAGTCTCTTTGCCCCGCTCCTATTACCCCAAAGTCTGATGTCTCTGTTTAAGGCGTAATACCAGCGAGTGTCCAAATTTCTCCTCTAGCGTTAATACAGACCTTGCAGAATGATATTTATCGCCTGTGGGTCACTGACTTTCAGCGAAGGCCTCACTCGAGACACTTTTGATAACACAGGAATATTGTAGACGAGCCGTTGAGTCAGTGATTTATTTAAGGTTCAGGCTCTCTGCCGCCTCTTTATAGCCCAGGAAACCATTGAAATGTGTCCTTTGAAAATTCAAACCCAGCCTAAGCATCTCTCTCCCGCTGGGGAGTCATGGGGTTATCTCTACCCCTCGGTGGCTTGACGTCTTTGTGTAGCTTCTATGGAAATACATTTCCAATATCCCGTGGTTTCCCTTGGAGACCCAGTCAAGCAGGTTATCACCTTCCCTGGCCCAGGGCAGCCCGGCTGATGCATGCTTTGTCATACACATTTTAAGAGCATAATTCTCGTGCACGGCCACACCCCTTTGTGCAGACCCCATGCAGACGTGACACACGAATATTAAAGACCCACGAGGGCTGAGTTTGCCAGTGAGATCCCATCTGCCACCCATTGGGTCTGGAGCCTGACACCAGGGTGTGAGGTGCAGAGAGTCCATCAGGCCTGGCAAGAGTTGGTGACACAGAGCAGTTTGACCCACCAATTGGCCTGTGTCACCCCCCATACCCACCCCCCGAGGCCTGGGGATTGGCAGGTTGGTGAGAGATGGGCCCAGTCACTCTCATCCTCCACCCTGATCTGACTGCCCCCCTCCCGGCAGGATGCGAGGGACGGGTCATGGATGGGCCAGGAGGACGAGCTCCTGGAGGGGTTCGAGTGGCGCGCCGACATGCAGCGAGTCACAAAGGGGGTGTGGGCGTGGAGTCAGCCCTTCTGGGTCCCGGCCAAGGGTGAGAAGGTAAGTGAGGGCTTTGGGGGTGCACAGGGAAGGGGGAGGAGGCCATGGGGGGGCTGGGAGAAGGGAAAGGGGAACAGGGTAGAGGGCTGGGAACAGAGGGAATGAGGGAAACCGGGAGGGATGGACAGAGATGTGGGAAGGAGGCCCCAGGGGAACCCACTGGAGAGAGAACAGGTGAGAATGGAGAAGAGCGAGAGGAGGGAACTAACACTGGGGCGGGTGAGAACGAGATGCCAGGCGCCCTCAGGGCAGAGCAGGGGTCAGGCTCTGGGGGCGGAGGGGCCGTGCGCGGCTGGACAAAGCCGGGAGCTGACCTGGGGCTCTCCCTCTTGGCCCCGCCAGGTGGCCGTGCTGCTGGTGGACACCGAGGGCTCCATGGACATTGAAAGGAACAAGGAGACCAGCATCAAACTCTCCGCCTTGTCCATGCTGCTCAGCTCCTACCAGGTTGGGGGGCTCAGTGTGGGGGGCTGTGCTGTAGGGTGTGGGGCAGAGGCTCAGTAGGGGGCGCTCTCCCCTGGCAGTCAGGGCTGGCCCCAGTGTGGCACTAGGGGGCGCTGTGCTGCAGGGAGCGGGGCAGGGGCTCAGTAGGGGGCGCTCTCCCCTGGCAGGCTGGGCCAGCCCCAATGCCCCCTGCGGCATTAGGGGGCGCTGTGCTCGGGGCGGGTGACGTGGCTGGGAAGTGGCCTGGGCCGGCCGGCCCTGCTCATTGCTGTAGCTCTGTCTGTCCCCTGGCTATTTGTAGATACTGAACATTGGCTGTCGGGTGAAGGACCCGGATCTCGAATACCTGGAGGTGAGGCCGGCAGCGAGACGCAGAACGTGGCCGGGCCAGGTTCTCCCATTAGCCCCTCAGGGTTATTATCCCTCCACATAGGTCGTATGGGGAAACTGAGGCCCAGAGAGAAAAAACGACTCTCCCACGGTCACATGGGCCTCTGGGGTCTGCACTGTCACCGCACGGCCCAGCCTGGCTCTCTGCTCCCAGGTGTCCCGTGTGGGCCACTGGGCCAAAGTTAGGACCCCTCCCTCCCCTCCAGCCCAGCTCCGCTGTCGGTGGGAAGCTGCTGGGGCCAGGGCCTGGGGCGGTCACTCTGCCCCCCGGTTCCACTTTGCTCTTCCCACCAGGCTCTTACCCAGCCCCAGCCCCGCCGTATGGAGCCCCTGGCAGTCGTGCTCTTAGCGACGTCACTGCCGCTTGTGGCATATGGCGTGTCCTGCCCCTGCACCGCGCCCCGGGGAGATTCTCTGTGCGGGACACGGGTTGGATCTGGCGAGCCCTGGAACCAGACTGGCTCCTCCCTGGGGCATATGGCACGGAAAAGTGGGGTGTGCCCAATGGCTATCCCCCCCAGCACCAGACCCCTCTACCCCACGGCCTCCCCCCACCCCGTTGGCTGGGAACATCCCGCTTCTCTCTGTCCCATGGAAAATGTCTCCGTCCATCTCCAGCTTTGTTTTGCACTTGTCAGGCCTCACTGCGAAGGGAGCAGATCAGACTGGGGGTGTGGGCGACCAGGCCCCTTTGCGCTTCACAGGAAGGATCCCCGCGCCCAGTGTAAACAGCTCCCAGCCCCCAGTCTTACCCGCCCCCACACTCTGTTCTCTTCACTCCGCAGATGTTTGTGCAGGTGGCTGAAGTGGTGGGAGAGGCCTATGGACTGGACCCCATTCAGGTGAGACGGCTTCCCCCCCCCATCACCCACCCTGCCCCATGTATCCCCACATTGCACCCCTCCCCCACTCCACAGCATGCTCCTGCCCCATGCACCCCCTGCCCCACTCCCGAGGGGTTGAGGTTACCCCAGCAGACACTGTCCTTCTCCATGTCCCAGCCTTCACCCCACCCCCAGTGACTCCCACTCCCCTCCTGTCTCCCCTGCAGCATCTAGACCTGCTGGTGAGGGATTGGAGCAGCTCCCAGGTCCTCGGAGCCCAGGGTGGGGAGCAGCATCTCAGACACGTCAGACAGGTGAGTGTGGGGTTTGGGGTGGGGGTGGGGAATGGGAGATGGAGCCTTTCCCACCTGGTGTGGGTCGGCTCTGAGTGTGTCTCCACTCATCAGTTATTGTTGCTCGCTGCATTTCACTGCTGTAAGCTCTGTACATCGATATAACGATCCCCCCGGCTCCGGCAGATGCTGGCGGCGACGTCCCCTTGCAAACACCCCAAGGCCCTGGAAATGCTGAAGAGAAACAGCACCCGCTGTTACCTGATGCCCTTCCCCGGCAAGCGGATCGTGACTGGGATGGAGGGAACCCTGAGAGGTAACGGAGCCGGGAGAGTGGCTCTGAGCCCCTGCCACGTGCAGAGCAACCCAGCTGGGTCACCGCACACGCCAGCGTGTGGAAGGTAGAGAAGGGGGATTAAATCCACCTTTGTCCGTCTCTCTCCCCTTCGCAGGCATGGATGAGGATTTCCGGGAGCGGCTCAGGGACTACATCACCGCCGTGGTGGGCTCGGCCAGTCGACATGTCCAGAGGGACCAGCACGGGGAGCTGCTCACCGGGACACAGCTCGCTGCCAAGATAAAGGTGGGGACCGGCCAGCTGTGCTGCAGGGATCGGGATGGGGTGCTCTCCGCTGGCACTCAGTGATGACCCCAGTGCCCGTGTGGCATCACTGTGCAGCTGTTCCCCTGCTTCCCTGCCCCAGAGGTGGCTGCATCTCACAGCTGGGCAAGCCCTCCACAGGGCTTTGAAAGGCTGGGAACATGGGGAGTCTGTGATGTGATGATTTCTTTTTGTTCCTTTGCAGAATTTATCTGATATGATGAAGAAGCATTGCTTCGGCTTCTCCTCTCCCTGTCAGGTACCGTCTCTCTCTCTCTCTGACCCGATCGTGGGGTGTCTCCCCTCATCCGTCCATGCCAGGCCTGGGACAATATTGGGAACTGGGTCCATTCTGCCGGAGGTGACTGGGAAATCTGGGTCTGGGTGAAATCTCAGGTTCTTGGACTCCGGGGTAGAAAAATTTGACTAGCGTGGAGGACGACTGGCACTGAAGTGTTCGCCAGCCTACGGACACATCTCCAATCCATGAGACCCACGTCACCAAAACCTGTTTTTCCCCAGGAGATGCCTGTCAGCATTTAAACAAGAGGAGTTTGTTAGAGCTGGTCCAAAGACGGGGGTGTTCTTCTTGAAGAAAACTTGGAGTTTCCAGCAAAACCCCCAAATATCTCTTGTGTGGAAAGGCCACTGCCGCAGCTCCTGGGAACTGTAGTTCTTGTGCCTCACATTCTCCATTCTCCTCTATGGGTTGAGCACCCTGATTAGACTACACCTCCCATGATGCACTGCAGGCACCGTGCACCACCACCCCTCGCCAAGGGATAAGACCCTGGTGCTGCATCATGGGAGATGTATCTTGGGCAACCCATCCATCCTCCCCAATCTCCTCTATGGGTTGGTGTAATGGCGTGGCACGCACCTCTCACGAGCGCCCCTTCTGGTCGGGTGTGTCTGCACTTCTTTAACCAGCCCCATCCCCAGGATCAGGTCACACCCCAGGGCTTCCTCCCTGAAGACGATAGTTTTGCCCTCTCTAGGTCTGTTCTGACCCCAGCTCTCCAGCCAGACAGCTCAGATCCCTTTCTGTAAGTTTAATCACTGTCCAAGTGTAGGCCACTTCCCCAGGGGCTTATAGGGGGGATCCGGGCCCACCCACTACTCTAGGTCCCAGCCCCAGGGACCCTAACAATAGCAACCGTGCACCACTGTATCCCTTTAGCAAAAATGCCTTGAGTTCCCTGGGCCACTTCCCATGGCCCCAGCCTTCACCGACACCTTATCCTTAGCTGAGGGCCTTTCTAAATTCAGGCCCAGCAGCCAGCCAGGAGCTCTTCCTCGCTCCCCTGAGGAGGAGCACTGAGCTCTCCATTATGGTGCAGTTCCCTTTGGCCAACCAGGAGCCCGCATCTGCACTCCACTGGCTCCTGCAAGGAACTGCCTATCTCTGCCTCTGCTGTTCCTTTTTACAGGGCTCTCCTGGGCCCCTATTGGCTGCTCCCTGCAGCCTCTCTGATTGGCCACTTCCCCTGCAGCCATTCAAGCCTGCTTGGAGGGCCTCTTCACTGCTCCTTTCCTGGGACAAGTGTGGCAGGACTCTGAGGCCTCCAGCTGCGGGTCTCTGGGTCTAGTCCATCCCGTCACACTTGGGCTTCCGGCTTTGACTGCATCTGCCATGAGCCCAGCCAACAGAGAAGAATGGGACGTTGGGGCAACCAAACTACATCTCCCATCATGCACCACGGTGTCCTCTCTTGCTAAGGGATGGCGGTGCATCATGGCTGCAGGGCAGCATGGGAGGTGTAGTCTGAGTGCTTGGCGTATAGAGGAGAGTCAGGCATCTGAACCACATTTCCCATGATGCACCAGCATCTCCTCTCTTGCTGTGTGTCTCATGGCCCCAGGGAACCATGGGAGGCACATGCAGTGGCAGGGAGCAGGATAAGGTGGATCCAGGGGTTCTATCCACTGGCACGCTCTGCAGAGCGGGGCGTAGCCACAGCAGAGCACGGATCTTTCCACGCAGTGTCACGGGGCCTCTGGGGAGCTGGGAATCGGGCCGGCTGAGCAGAACTTCTGCCCTGTTACGGGTCCCTGGGATGTCTAACCCCATGAAGTCAGTCAGGACTCTGGGGTTCGTTTCTGTGAAGTCTTCAACACACACTCACCCCTCCACCTTCCTGGGTCTGACCTAGATTCACATCCTCGCCCTCCGGTTCCCCAGCGGTCGCTCAGGGGGGCTCCTGGGGAAGCCAAGGTCCTACCCCAACTCCGCAGTCAGACTGACTCTCAGCCAGCAGTAAAACAGAAGGTTTATTAGACGACAGGAACATGGTCAACACAGAGCTTGCAGGTGAGAGAACACCCCTCAGCTGGTCCATTCTGGGGGCAGTGAGCCAACAACCACTCTCCCTTCACTCCATGTCCCACCACCCCAAACTAAAACCCCTCCAGCCCCTCCTCCTCTGGGCTTTGTTCTTTCCGGGCAGGTGGTCACCTGATTCCTTTGTTCTCCAACCCTTTAGCTCACCTTGCAGGGGGGAAGGGCCCAGCCATCAGTTGCCAGGAAACAGGGTGTCGGCCATTCTCTGTCCAGACTCCTGACACACCTGCCCTCTAGGCTCTGCAATGATCATACACCCTTACTCCACCCCTAGATACTTAAGAACTGCCTAGGGGAAACTGAGCACCCCCACACTATTCAGAGGAAACATTAAGAACAGTCCCACTCTCACATCTCTCCCCCTTCGAGATCGAACTGAGCGGGGTCACTTTAGCCGGTGACCTGGGGAAGTTCGAAGCCACCAACGTTCCCATGATCCCCAGCATCTCTCCCATTCCTTGGTAGGAGTTACACCAGGCCCTTCCAGTTTCACACCCTCCCTTAGGTCAGGGGTGGTCGATAGAACTCGCAGGCCGATGTGGGAAGGTTTATCAGCCCATGCCCTTTGGCCACCCCAAGAATGTCTCCCCATTGACCATCACCTTCTGCTCCCACTGGAGGTCGAGGGGCCTGGCCCCAGGAAACTCCACACAGACATATAGGTTGGGGTCAGGAGTGGGAGCCTGTCCACATCCCCAACCATCTGGCTGACGGAGTCTGTGGCCTTGGGACCCAGCAAGGGAGCTAGACACCGGGGCTTTTCCGCAGGGTCCCCCTGGTTCAAATCGTCAGCCTGCTCAAAGGCAGTGAGGTGGCATCCACACACCCCCTCCTTAACCAGGGGCAGCAATTAGTCTCGAGGTTCCCTGCGAACTGGCCCCCGGGTCTATCCCCACTCACCCCGGGAGGTCCCCTAGGCCCTCCGCCCCACCACCGCCAGTTCATGCTGCTGTGCTTCTGCAGCTCTTTTCGGCTCTCGCTGTCTCCCACGTCCTCTTGCTCTCTCAGACTCAGCTCCAATCCCGTCGTCTCGATCCCCCGATGGGGAACCCGATCGTGAAGACCCTCGTCTGGTCGGGGACAGGAGTCTTGGCGATGCCTGGCTACTACTCCAGCTGCTCCCAGATCCTGCTATAGCCCCAGTTGGGGTCAGGAATCTGTTCCTTAGACGTCATCCTCCTCCAGCTGCACGATTAACTCTGCTTTGGTGAACTTTCCAACGCTCAACCCTCTCTTTCTGCACAGGGTTACAATGTCCTTCTTAAGGAGAAGGTGACACCATCACTCCGCTCCTCCCAAGTTGTTGTGGACTCACAGGCCCGTGTGTTCTCAGCTCCCCACGTTTCCAGGGAGAACCCCTAGTGTGCCAGCCCTTCTCGAGGTCACCACCTCTTTGCCAGGGTCGAGCTGCAGACTCCTCCGCCCCTTGGACTGCTCGCTGCAATCCCCAGGGGAACCCTGTTACTGCACAGTCCTTCTCGCTGGTCACACACTCCCAGGGGTTAACCGCCCCCGAAACCGCTCCTTTCTGAGCCTTCAGCAGGCCTGGTCCTCGGCAATCCCCCTTCGTGTTACTGCTCCCCAGTCACTTACTGCAGAAGCGCCATCCACGGGGTGCATACATCCCACCACTGCCACCAGTTGTCACGGAGTCCCTGGGCGATGCTCTGGAACTGCTCCCCAGAAGTCAGTCAGGACTCTGGGGTAGTCGCCTTTCTGTGAGCAGCCTGTCTTCAGGACACACAGCTCACCCGGCTTCCACCTTCCTGGGTCTGACCTCGGAGCATTCAGCATCCTCTGCCCCTCCGTGCGCTTCCCACAGCGAGTCCGCTCAGGCGGGGTCCTGGGGAAGCCAGAGGGTCCTGCACCCCAACTCCGCAGTCAGACGTGACTCTCAGCCAGCCAGTAAAACAGAAGGTTTATTAGACGACAGGAACATGGTCTAACACAGAGCTTGCAGGTGCAGAGAACGGGACCCCTCAGCTGGGTCCATTCTGGGGGGCAGTGAGCCAGACAACCACGTCTGCCCTTCACTCCATGTCCCAGCCAGCCCCAAACTGAAAACCCCCTCCAGCCCCTCCTCCTCTGGGCTTTGTTCCTTTCCCGGGCCAGGTGGTCACCTGATTCCTTTGTTCTCCAACCCTTTAGCTCTCACCTTGCAGGGGGGAAGGGCCCAGGCCATCAGTTGCCAGGAAACAGGGTGTCGGCCATTCTCTGTGTCCAGACTCCTGACACACCTGCCCTCTAGGGCTCTGCAATGATCATACACCCTTACTCCACCCCCTAGATACTTAAGAACTGCCTAGGGGAAACTGAGGCACCCCCACACTATTCAGAGGAAACATTAAGAACAGTCCCACTTCGTCACACCCTGGCTCCTTCGGTCTGATGTGCCAGCCGGACAGTGTTTCAGCACAGCCCTCACCAAGCCCTTCACGTCCGAGTCACGCCGCCTTCCCCCGCAGCCAGGCAGGAGGCTGCGTAGACAGACCCTGTGATGTGGACTGTAAAGTTCTCTTGGTCAGATCGGCTGGGACGGGTGCTACCCAGGGAATCTTCTAGAGGAGAATTGGGGTGGGGGGTCTTCTCTGCATGGGGGGGAATAGACCGGCCTAGCTATTCAGGAATAACTCCTCCGCAATAGCCACTCCAGCCCAGCGCCAGAGCAGAGGCGGTTCCAGATTCATTGCTCCTCCACCACAAGATTTAACCCAGCCAGAACACCGAGAGCTGAGAGTCACACCCAAACCACCTGCCTCCTGGCGATCGATAAAAGCCCCCAAACACCACCAGACCCGTGAGAGCCGGCGTCACGGATGTGCTCTCGGGGGTTTGCAAAGTCTGCGAGCACATCGGTGATGCCGGCTGGGACAGGGGTTTGCAAAGTCTTCGGCTAGAGGAAAGTGACATCAGTGCAAAGTGCAGGTCGGGGCGGGGAAGGGAGCCGAGGCAGGGTTGCCGGGAAGGTCAGATGGCCAACCGGTGCTGCCCGAAGCTCCAAGCACTTGCCGCACGGGCTAGCGGAGTCGTTCTGTTATGTGAGGGGCAACCAAACCACATCCGGCCCGCGGGACCGTCCTGCCTGGCCCCTGAGCTCCCGGCCGGGGAGGCTCCCCCCCGGCTCCTCCCCTGCTGTCCCCCTGCCCCACAGCCTCAGTGCACCACGCTGCCAGCGCTCTGGCCCGCCGCTCCTGAGCGGTGTGGTAAGGGGGCAGGGCTGCGAGCTCCTGCGGGGCTGCGTGTCTAGCTCTGGCGGGCCCCACAGCTGCCAGACACTCTGCTCTGAGAGGCATGGTAAGCGGGGTGGGGGGGTTGGATAAGAGGCAGGGAGTCCTGGGGGAGCAGTCAGGGGAAAGGGAGCGGGGGGGCGGTTGGATGGGGTGGAGGTTCTGGGGAGGGGGGGCGGTCAGGGGAGAGGGAATGGGGGGTTTGGATAGGGCGTGGGAATCCTGGGGGTCTGTCAGGGAGGCAGGGGTGTGGATAGGGGTCGGGGCAGTCAGGGGACAGGGAGCAGGAGGCAGTGGGTAGGGGGTGAGGTCCTGGGGGTCAGTTAGGATGGGGGGTCTAGGGGGCAGTCAGAGGACAAGGAGCAGGGGGGATTAGATAGGGGGTGGGGTCCCGGCGGTGGTGGTTAGGGGTGGGTGGGGTCCTCTGGAGGGGGCAGTCAGGGGACAAGGAGCAGGGAGGGTTGGATGGGTTTGGGGTTCTGAGGGGGGCGGGAAGTGGGTGGAGGCAGATAGGGGCCGGGGCCAGGCTGCTTGGGGAGGCCCAGCCTTCCCTACCCCGCCCTCCATACAATTTTGCAACCCCGATGTGGCCTTCGGGCCAAAAAGTTTGCCCGCCCCTGCACAAGGTGGAGTTGGGGCCCCGCGACCTGCGGCTCACCCCAGCCTTGTTCTCCCTGCGCAGATGGCCATCACCTTCCACAACGAGAGAGCCATGGACAGAGCCCGCCGAGACCACGCTGACTTTCTGAGAGAGAAGGTGCGTTTGGCGGGGTGTGTCCCCAGCTAGGGGAACCCCAGAGAACCATCCAAGCCAGCCCCACGGGCTCTGGACTTCGGGGCAGGAGATGGGAGTTCGCATCTCCAGCTCCCAGGGTGGTTGCAGAGACGGGAGACCCCAACCCTCGCCCAAGGGGGGGCCCGATCTCAGTCGGGGGGTCTGTGCAGCGCCCGGCATGATGGCAGCCGGATCTCCATCAGGAGGCGTGAGCCTCACCCAGGATAATGGAGGCCGGACCGTGCAGTGCCGGGCACAATGGGAGCCCTGATCTCACTTGGTGAGGGTCTGGGCAGTCCCCGGAGTGACGTGAGCCCCAGCCTCCGGCCAGGTCTGTGCCATACCGGGCATGAGGGGGGGCCCCCATCTCGGTCAGGGGGGTGGGGTCAGTCCAGCAATTGCCCCTTCTAACGCTCTTGGCCGTCTCCTCTCCCGGCGGATGCAGGACGGCGACTCCCGGACCCTGATCTCCTGCCTGAAGGTGCGGCCGAGCAAGATGGCGGAGCTGTTCGCGGAGCGGCGTGGGCAGCTGCTGGGGCGATGCCGGACGGACATGCGGGAGCCGGCGCCGGAGAAAGCGGCCCAGCTGACGGAGCTGGAGGAGGAGTTCACAGGGGAGGCCGAGACCTTCCTGCAGAGCTACGGGAAGCGCTTCAAGGAATTCGTCATCGCGGCGGGCGTGGGCGCGGGGGCGCTGGTGCTGGCCCCGGTGGGCGGCGCTGCCGGCGTCGGGATCGCTGCGGCCGCTGCTCTCGGCATGGCTGAGGCAGCAGCCCTTGGCGCTGGCGTGGGTGCCGTGGCCGGGATCTGCGTGGGCGGGGGCGTGGGCGGCAGTATCTCTCGGAGGGATACGATGAGGGCCGAGGCCACCGCCGGCCAAAGGGAGCAAGGGGATGGCACCGAGGAGCAGTCCGATGAGGCTTACCTTTTGCTGCTGCCGATGTAAGTGCCCCACTGCGCCAACTTAATAACTCCACCTCCGCAAGCGGTCTAGAGACAAGGTCGATGTAATTAGGTTGATGCATGTCAATGGTGACACTGTGCTGCTTACGTCAACTGTTAATGGCTTTCAGGAGCCTTCCCACGATGCCCCACACTGACAGTACAATCGATACAAGCCCTGCTGATAAGGACACGCACCACCGACACAAGGAGCAAAGCGTAGCCACGCACAAGCGATGTAATTACTGCGGTGGCTGTATGCTGACGTACGTTAGCATCAGTGATGTTGATGTCTTATCAGGCCTGTATGTTTGCCTGAGATAGACTTTTTTGCCCTTTTGACTTTTGATACTTTTATATACTTACTAATGTAAGCGGAGTCTGAATGAGGTCTCCCCTGACATCTAGTGGTGAGCTGTGCGAAAGGACTTCAGGAGCTGATCTTGTTTGCATGGACACACCCACCCTGCCTAAGTGCTCAGCATGATTGGATTGCTTGCCCAAGTGATCACTTGTGTCTGGTGTTGGATCCCCAGTCTCCTTGTTATTGGGGTAGGAGTAATAAAGGGTTGTGTTACCCTTGTTGTGTGAACCGAGGGCAGCAGAAGTGTACCTGGCATACCCTGAAGGAGGGACTCACCCTCACTTGAATGGTACTTGCTAGGCAGGGGACATGGGTTCCAAAGTGCCATAAGAAGAAAGGGCTGGTGGTAGGTAATTGTACTTGGTGGGTCTGGGTCTGGGTCTGGGTCTGGGTCTGGGTCTGGGTCTGGGTCTGGGTCTGGGTCTGGGTCTGGGTCTGGGTCTGGCAGACACACCATTTGACCTTTCTCTTTCCATGGTATAATAAGAGATAATTTAGACTCTATTGAGAGTCTTGTTACATGCTGCAGAGCTAAAATCACTGATACCTAGGTCTAAGTAATAAACCTTTTTTGGGTCAGTGTCTCTATTGCAAGAGACTGCCCAGCGTGCACCAGCAGTGGGTCTCCCTGACTAACAGCTAAAATCACTGAGATCTGTGTGACGTGGGGGACCCTGAAGACATCTTGGTGAGCGGCCAGCAGGGAAGCTGGCAGAGAGGGGTGGCAATCCACCATTGGGGCAACTAGCAAGTGCTTGAGCAGCAGAGTGTTTGAGATGCCTCCTTCTCCCCCCACTTCCATCCAGGGTGGGAGGTGAACTCGGCGGCCGAACCTCTGAACTCTGGGACTGCACTGGCCAAGGACAGCAACTGTGAGTGGGGTGCAGAGAAGGGACGGACACGTTAAAGGGACTTTTGGGTTGCTGGACTTAAGAACCTGAGGGGAAAAGGACAGTGCCCAACTTACTTGGGGGTGGGTCTTTTGCTCATGGTTTATGTTTATGAATCCTAGTTGCAATGTTTCCACAAATTAATGCAGAGTTACTTCCCTCCTTTTATTAAAAGGTTTTACTACACTCAGACTCTGTGTTTGCGAGAGGGGAAGTATTGCCTCTCAGAGACACCCAGTGGGTGGTGTGTAATTGTCCCAGGTTACTGGTGGGGGCTCGAGCCGGTTTTGTGTTGTATTGTTGAAAAGGAACCTCCAGCTATTAAACCAGGCCCTTGTCCTGCTGGCTCTACCTGGCAGAAGGGTGACACAAATCTGTGTGAACAAAGAACCAAGACGCTGTGTGTTGCTTCTGCCTAACTAGTTGGGGGTTTGAGCACAATGAGAAAAGATAAGAAACAGAGTTAAAGTGTTACCAGGTATGGTGGGAGTGGAACTTCCCCAGGCCACTGGCTAAAGTGACCTCACTCCGTTCGGTCTCAAAGGGGGCAGAGATGTGACGAAGTGGGGATTTTCCCTTGTTATGTTGTATGTGAGTCTTACTGTTGAGCCGATGAGAGTTTTACTGTTTTGCATGAATACGGTGTGTGGCTCAGTTTCCCTGTGGGCTGCACCAGTTCCTCGGTGGTGGGAATAGAGGTGTGTGACTTTGGCTGAGACCTCTGGGGCAGGTGAGGTTGCTCCTGCTGCCTGCACCTATGCTGTGACCAGTGCCCTTCGTAGCCTGAGACCCATGAGGGGGATGCAACCAGGTGATGACCAGGAAGTGAGGCAAAGACAAAGAGGAGGAGCAACAGGCGTGTTGGAGGTTGGGTCGCTGGAAGCTGGAAGTCTGCCTGTTTGGGACTGGAAGATGGGGAGTCCAGGCTGCCTGGTCCAGGACTCCCCAAGATGGATTTGGCTGAAAGTCACTGATGTCTGTGTTATCAAGGTCTGTTCTATGCTGTGTTCCTGTCAACTTATAAATTTTTACCAGCTGGCTGAGAGTCACGGCTGACTGCGGAGTTGGGGTGCAGGGCCCTCTGTCTTCCCCAGATCCCCGCCCGAGCGGAATCATTGCGGGAAGTGCACGGCTTGGAAGGGGATGCTGAATGCTCTGAGGTCAGACCCAGGAAGGTCAAAGCTGTGTAAGCTTCTTGCCCTGGCACAGGATGCTCAGAGAGAGGAGGCTTGCTTTCCCAGAGTCCTGACCGGCTTCGTATGGAGTAGTTCCAGAGCATTGGTCCTGTGACTCCATAAAAGTGGTTTGTCAGACAGAGCCCAAAAAACATAACCCTCTGGTCTCCCAGAGGATATGAACCACCTTTGGGTTATGGGGTCCCACATTAGGGTGTAATCTTACCATTTGTAATCATAATGGTACCTCCATAAAGGAAAATCCCTGAGCGTGCAGTTATGTACATAGAATCATAGGACTGGGAAGGACCTCGAGAGGTCATCTTGTCCAGTCCCTGCACTCATGGGAAGACTATTCTCTAGACCATCCCTGACAGGTGTTTGTCTAATCTGCTCTTAAAAATCTCCAATGATGGAGATTCTACAACCTCCCTAGGCAATTCATTCCAGTGCCTAACCACCCTGAGAGCTAGGAAGTGTTTCCTAATGTCCAACCTAAACCTCCCTTTGCTGCAATTTAAGCCCACTTGTCCTATGGAAGCAAACAACGCACACGACCTTTTAAATGTCCAAAGGCACATTCCACCACCATTCTGCGCTTCAGGTAATATAAATACCAAGCTAAAAAAAAAAACAAATTTAAGCTGGCCACAGCCAGGAGCTGGAAATACTCTCTGATGGGTGAATGTATGGAATCCTCTGTGGAACCAAGTGCAACCCACACTCTCCAATGTGTCCTTTCAGACCATTACATGGTGCACCCCCAAGAACGGTGGGTGGACTGAGTACATCCCAACTGCAGTACATACACAGAAGGGTTAAAGCAGCAATTTAGTTGGTGGGTGAGGGAACACACATGGAATGGTCACCAGAGAAGGGATTCGCAGGCAGCAGGAAACACAGGGTTGTGTGCATGGACCCTGGGGGACAGCTGGGTACCCAAATAACTGATAAGCCAAAATGTGAAACTTCAACAACAAATCAATGCACAACTGGCTCAGCAAGTGTCTGCAATGGTGACAGGATGGAGAAGGGCAGCAGAGGTGAACTGGCAGTTAACTCAATGGACAGGAAACCTGGTAATTTTGGTGGGGGACGCTTTCAGAAGGCTAACCTGGAGGGAGGTGTATATGCTCAGATAGCAATGTTAATGAATGTCATGAGGGACACATGGGTGGGACGATGTCCTTCAGCTTTAAATCGTGAAGCTAGTCCATAGTTATCCACACTTGCCTGACACACCCATCTGCATGGAAAATAACATCCTCCACCTGTGGGTTTAGCACCTGGGTAATAGTCACCATGATACTTTGGAACAGGACGGTAACAAAGGTGGTCCCCAGGAGCCCTATGGGAGTAAGGAGAAAGGGATTAGCTCACTGGGAACCATTGGGGGATAGAGAGGGAGGGTTGAATGGTGTAAGTTGGACAATAATCAAGTAGAGCAATGTATGTCCATGAAAGATATTTGGATGTGCTCCTCCTCAGTGGCCACAGAAGAGGAGGATCAGTGGCCTGTTGCAAAAGGGGAGTGATTAGGGTGTTGTAGATGGGGTATGATGTGTTTTGCTGGGAATGTACACGATCCTGTAATATAACACTAGGGGGCACAATTACACCAGCACATGATGAAATTACACACATCTACACACTGCCATCAGGACTATGGTGCATGAAAAGGGGTGGCTTTTGAGAGTGCTAGTGGTGATAATGCCGTATTCAGGCCTGTATATTTGCCTGAGATAGAGTTTTGGGTCTTGTTTGCCCATTTGACTTTTCATATTTTTATATCCTTCCTAATATGTGTGTGAACAAAGACACTGCATGTTGCTTCTGCCCAACCAGATGGGTTTGCTAGTACAATGAGAAAAGATAAGGAATAGAGTTAAAGCATTTCTGGGTTTGGTGGGAGTTTAATATATGAGTGTACGCTTGCAGGACAGTCCTGCCTCAACTCCTCTCCGGAGACAAGGTCAAGCTACCAGTTGGGAGGGGTGAGTGGGATGGGGGGTGGTGGGGTGGCATAAGAAACACTAAAAGCCAAACAAATGCCTGGCCTTGTCCAGTACACAACCTCACTCCTTACCTCTCCCATGGGATACAAAAGAGGTGGTACCAAAGCCCCCAGACTCAAGACCCTCCAGAACAGAATATGACCACAAATTGTAAGGGGGTGGGACCCATGGCGTGCGCTACAGGTATAATTAAGTCTGCTAAGAAGGGGGAGGTGGGGAAAAAGGGGACAAGGGAAAAAGGCTCTGTCAGCAAGCAGAGCTATTGATATGCTTGCTTGATTAATCCCAATAAACATTGCCTTGCCTGCACTTTGGATGTTGAAATGCCAATCATGATCGTGGGAAACCCAGCCTACCCCTTCCTACCATGGCTCATGAAACTGTACACAAGCAGCCTGGAAAGCAGTAAGGAGCAGTTCAGCCATCAGCTGAACAAGCGCAGAATGGTGGTGGAATGTGCCTTTGGACATTTAAAAGGTCGTGTGCGTTGTTTGCTTCCTAGGTTAGACCTCAGTGAAAGTAATATCTCCATTATTATTTCTGCCTGCTGTATGCTCCAT